TTGCTATAAGAAAACTTTTAGAACAAAAGTTGTAGCAAATTTTATTGTTAACAATATTGCTCTCTTGCACTTTTGCTCTTAGATGCGTCAATATCGAGAAAAGTACAAAAATATGAAATTTTGATGAATTTGCTTTTTTATGCTATTAAAGGTAACATTCGGGAATCGAAGCATATTATAAAGAAACTTTTAGAACAAAAGTTGTAGCAAATTTTATTGTTAACAATATTGCTCTCTTGCACTTTTGCTCTTAGATGTGTCAATATCGAGAAAAGTACAAAAATATGAAAATTTAACATCATTTTTGATATTCATTTTTAGTGATATCCTTCAATATAATCCTTTGATGTCTTTCAGCATCATTTTTGATATCTTTTAACATCATCGTTGGGTTTCCTCAACATTCAAGACTTTGTATTATCATCTTTATGGTATATATATTAACAAAAACTTACTCATCACATAAGGAGAGGTTTTAATCATATAAAAAGTGTGTGTATAAGTAAAAAAAAACTTACATGACTTATTGCAGTTGGATGTACGACAAACTCAATACATTCAGCTGTATCCATAATCGGAATTTTAACCGAATAAACGACTCCATTAATTCCAGCCACGAACAACATTAAATTCGAATTGGAAAGTACCACTTTGGTCAAAGCCGTCTGCGTTACAGAAACATCCCTTTGAATATTACAGTTCATAATCTCCCTAATTCTGCCGTCTGAGCCAACCGCAAAAACCGATTTTCCATCGCCCGTGGTATTGGCATCCGCAAATTGACACGATTTCACGATCGTCTCGCTGATTCTCCGCGTCGTCGAGATTTGCCATTCGTAAACTGCCCCTTCGGCCCCGCACGAACACAATTTATAATCGTCGTGAACCCAAGAGAACCCGGTAACCCTTCCGTTATGACCTTTCAAATTAAACATATGCTCGAACGAAACCGACGAGTACACTTGAATTATATTTCCGTTAGCAGCCGCAAAAATATGACCCAAATTACTAAAAGATACTAATTTACAATTCCTTACAGAGAATTCTCGGGTCATTTCGAGATCGTCTAAAAGGATTGTTAAGAATCGGAGTTTGTCGGAGAATCCGACCACGGCGTATAACCCCGTTGGGTGCAAAGCTAAACCGTGGATTTCTTCTAAATAAGTTTTAACTAATTCTAAAGTTTCCGATTCAAAGTTCCAAATGCGTATGGTTCGGTCCCAAGTTCCCGAAGTCATAAAAATCGGCTTCCATTTACACACCGCAATCGAACCAATTCCACCATGATGCAAATTCATCCCTTGTTCTTGAAACATAATTTCAGGTTGCGCAACTATATCGGGCCCCCATAACCTCACCGTATACATTTGATTCTCTTTACACGTCGCTAATAACCTATCTTCAGATAAATTCACCCCTAAATGATTAATATGGTTTAAAGCACCATCAACGGTTGGGTCATCGTCTTCTCGAACGACGTTTCGATCGGGTACTTTAAAAACGTTTCGTCTTCTGTAACGATGCGGGGTTTCCTTTTCGTATAAATAAACCATTCCGACCCCGCAAGCGTAAGCAAACCCTTTCGAGAAGACAAACATCGATTTTACTTGGTTATCTTCGCCTGCTATGGCCATCAAAGAGTTATCTAACAAGTTTGTTAAATCGCCCGCTTCGGCGTCATCCTCGAATTTGTAGTTGAATAAAGGGGTGTCGTACGCGATGTGTATCGCTTTGAGCTCGCCACTTTCGATGGTCATTATGCGCCCGTCCGAAGTTCCCGCGAGAAAACGGTCTTGAGATAACCAAGATCCGGATGTGAAGTTAACACCTTCGGCTTTTGCGAAACCAAATTGGCGCCAAACGTTTTCGAACGATGCGAGCATTCGGTACGTTTGGTTTCCGAGTAAGATGAGGAGGTTTGGGTCGTTTGGGTTGCAACAAATCTGGAATAAAATTGTTTTTCAGTTTAATAAAAATATACAACTATCAAAGCCCAGTACCCGACATCATCATTACAAGTATGCAACCAATATCACAGTACTGGTATTGCAATACGCGATTAGTAATATTGGTTGCATACTTGCAATGATGACGTCGTGTATGTTAATTAATTAACACACTGTACTTTTTTTTAATAAAGAAAAGTTTTCTGTAATACAACAACAATATACAACAATCTAGCGCTGAATAACAATTAAAACTAGAACTAGCATCATTGATTTATACATCGTATGGACAACTAGGGGAATACCCAGCGCAGCGTTGCCAACCTATGCCCACCAAATGTCGGTTTTATTAGAAAAATCGCTTCAGAATAATATATCCTTCAATCATATAATGCTCTGATGTGGAAGATATGGGACCCTTACAAAGGTACCTTGTTGAATGTTTAATTAAAATGATTGTTTTTCGGGGTCAAATCTATTGGCAAGTTGTTGGGAATCGAAGCATGTTATAAAAAAACTTTTAGAACAAAAGTTGTAGCAAATTTTATTATTATCAATATTGCTCTCTTGCACTTTTTCTCTTAAATGCGCCAATACCGAGAAAAGTACAAAAATATGAAATTTTGATGAAATTGCTTTTTTATGTTATTAAAGGTAACATTTGGGAATCGAAGTATGTTACAAAAAAACTTTTATAACAGAAGTTGTAGCAAATTTTATTGTTAACAATATTGCTCTCTTGCACTTTTTCTCTTAAATACGTCAATATCGAGATAGATACGAAAATATGAAAATTTGATGAATTTGTTGCTTTTTCAAATGATTAAAGGTAACATTTGGGAATCGGAGCATGTTACAAAAAAACTTTTAGAACAAAAGTTGTAGCAAATTTTATTGTTAACATTATTGCTTTCTTGCACTTTTGCTCTTAGATGCGTCAATATCGAGAAAAGCACAAAAATATGAGAATTTGATGAATTTGTTGCTTTTTCAAATGATTAAAGGTAACATTTGGGAATCGGAGCACGCTATAAAAAAACTTTTATAACAAAAGTTGTAGCAAATTTTATTGTTAACAATATTGCTCTCTTGCACTTTTTCTCTTAGATACGTCAATATCGAGATAGATACGAAAATATGAAAATTTGATGAATTTGTTGCTCTTTCAAATGATTAAAGGTAACATTCGGGAATCGAAGCATGTTATAAAGAAACTTTTAGAACAAAAGTTACAGCAAATTTTATTATTAATAATATTGCTCTCTTGCACCTTTGCTCTTAGATGCGTCAATATCGAGAAAAGTACAAAAATATGAAAATTTAATGAATTTGCTTTTTTACGTTATTAAAGGTAATATTCGTTAATCGAAGCATGTTATAAAGAAACTTTTAGAACAAAAGTTGTAGCAAATTTTATTGTTAACAGTATTGCTCTCTTGTACTTTTGCTCTTAGATACATTAATTTCGAGATAAATACGAAAATATCAAGATTTGATCAAATTATTAAAGGTAAGACTCGGGAATCGGAGCACATTATAAAAAACTTATGATGCATACTGTATATACCAACGATCTGGCAACGTTGCTCGAGCGACATTGCCACATTGTCGGTAATGCAGTAATAATGTAATAAGTAGAGTATTCCCATAATATAATAATAATATTTCAATTCTATCCTTTATTAAAATTTTGAAAATCCGTAAATTAATAAATAAATCGATAGGGTATAAATCGGTAGGGTTGGCAACGCTGAGTAATAGTTCTAGTTTTAATTTTATCAAAATATATAACAATTTATCACCGATTAACATTTAATAAGTATTAATTTACCTGGACGATATCTCCGACGTTGTTTAAGTTATTAGCGCGACAACTGCTTTCAACTCTGCCTTTTTCAGCTTTATAAACGTACATTTGCCAGTCGGGTTCGCCGGTCACAACGATTAGATTTCGGTTATCTTGGGTAAAAGACATGCAAGCGAATTCTCGCGTCGTACATTCGCGATCCATTGGAATCAAGATTTGTTTCTTTTTCTTGCAGGTGTTCGTCTCAAATAACGTAGCATAGGGCCTATCTCCGCTTTCAGCAACCGCCAATAATTTTCTAACGCAAAATTTTTTATTATTAATCGTTTCATCAAGATTGCGAGGATTATTTATTACCTATTTGGAGTTATCGCAATAGAAGTAACATATTGGCCCCGATCGGTGAGTTTAATAAATTTTTGTCGGTGTTGATTAAAATTGTGCATAACCAGCATGCTTCCGCATGGATAAGCGATGTCTTCATCGTTAATAAAATGAGCGTTACCTTTCACAGCAGTATTTATACCTAAAATGAGTCGGGGTTGAAGGGCTGGAAGCGCAGCGGTTAAAGCTGCCATCCCTTCGATAATTTAACAATAATTGTGTCATTTTAACCGATTACAAATCAATTGTTGCTAAGGAGACATAAATAAACAAGTTTAATCAATATTTTTAATCGTTTCAAAATTAAGTTATGCAACCAACATGACACGTGTGAAACTTATGCAACCTAATTAACACCTTTTTAATTTTTATTTATAATATTGATATGGTCACTTTTTAACAAAATTTAATACAAAAATGTCTTACAGCGCCGAAATATTAATTATTTAATAAAATATTTCAATAAATTATTTAATAAAATATTTTAATAAAATAAATTATTTCAAAGAAATTGAATTATGCAACCAACATAACACGCACGAAACTTATGCAACCCAATTAACACGTCGTTATTTTTTATTTACAATATTGATGTGGTTACTTTTTAACAAAATTTAATACAAAAATGTCTTACAGCGCCGAGGAAAAACTACGAGAAGCCTCGGCTCTTGGTGATATCGAAGGTATTCAAAACTTATTGGCTCAAAACGTTGATGTTAACGCAAAGAACTCAATAAACGGTTGGTATGTATTAAAAAAGAGATATTTTAATAAAACCTTGAGTAAAACATTAATTACTTTTAGGACTGCTTTACATTGGGCCACCAAACGCAACCATGAAACTGTAGTAAGAATCTTATTAAGTAATGGAGCTGATAGTAAATTAGAAAACCAAAAAGGTGAACGACCATCGAATTTATCCAAAAACCCCTCGATTTTAAACCTTTTAGAACCTCCAACTGCATCAGACTCGAATGATTCTGGTGAAGATAACTTAAAATTCACCCCTAATTACATTAAAAATGCCCCATTAAATGGTCAAGTTGATTTGGGGACTAAATTAAGGCAAAGACACCCTGATTTCTCAACAATGCCAACTACTGCTTTACCTGCAGCTCAATCTGATGATGATTTAGTTCTAAAAATACGCGTTTTTGGTTCAAGTGACCCTGATTTTATTGAGATTGAAGTGCCACGGTGGAAATTAACCTACAATGGGTTACAAAAGATTTGTTGTGAGGAATTGGAGATTTGTGAAAGTCAAGTTGAACGAATTCGTAAGTTACCCAATGTGAGGTTGAGAAAGGACGCTGATGTGAAGAGGTTGATGGATTTTCAGTGCTTAGAAATTGTTTTAAAGCCACCCTTAAATGAGAAGTTGAGTAATAGTTATCAGAGTATCTCCACGCATAAGGATCAAACTATTCTTTATTGAATGGGGGAAAAGAAATGATAAAAAAGATTCCCACCACCTATTTTTTTAGATTTTCATCAATTATTAGTGATTTAATTTGTTAATGCACGCAAATTAAGAGAAAAACGTTTTTAGTTTTAATTAATTAAAGCATTTAAGTATATAACTTGTAAAAAAAAATGTTCCTAGTTGCCTATTTTGTATATTTTTCATTAAAAACGAAAATCAAGTCTATTAAAAGCAATTAATTGGTTTAATCTAAAAAAAATTTTTTTTAATAAAAATCATTAAGCGCCATCTGCTTCTCGGTTAAGAAACTAAAAATAAATCGAAATCTAATTTCTAAGGTTTGAAACTCGGCTAAAATATTATTAATTGAGTTGATAGACAAGAGATTATAATAAATTTAAAGTCCCTAGATTTACAAAGTACCGCGGTTCATGAAGCCTGTTTTCTAGCCAAAATGGCAGTTTGACAGCTTGTCACTACATCTCACCACTTATTTACAAAAATATTGCCGTCTTGTTGCCTTTGGAGTTGCAAAAATGGCAGTAAGAAGGACTTTCGACTCTTCAGAGTACCACGAGAAAAAAGGTTAAATTTCCCGCTTGTAAATCTAGGGACTTTAAATAAATTAATTTAAATGCGCCATCTATTATTGATTAACGCAACTAGGCGGAATTAGTTGAGTTTCAAACCAAAGAAAAATTATTTATTTGATTAATTTTTAGGTTTAACATCTAAAATTAAAATAAAACATGAGTTAAAAAAGTAATTTGTTTTCCCAAAAATACTTAATTCCATATAATTAACTACAAATTAATTAATTAATTATTTCTTTTCCTCTTTTTAGCTGATAACTGCTCCACCAAAACCCTTCCAGATGGATAAACAGTAACTTTTGAATTATTCTTAGTTGATAATTCATCCGAATACACATTACAAGATTTCGCTCTTTTTCCTCTTATTTTTGGCACTTGAATTTCATCAGGATTTTCTGCCAAAAAAAATTTATTAATAATAAAACGTTTATTAACTTATTAAACTTACTCAAAGAAATATAAAGTGGAACAGCCATACTCAAATCCGTTTTTAAATTAACAACCTTAATATTTTCCCACCCCCCAGGAAATTCCTTTGCCAAGGCTTCACACGCCGTTAAAATATTCTCAAAAATCTCCATAACTTTCATATGACAATGTCCAATTTGAACCGAATAAGAATTTCCATGCCCTTGAATATTTATACTCGTCCTTAACATCGCATATTTCATTTTTTGGGCCATCCCATGTTCCATTCGAATGGGAATTGGTAACCGACGTTTCTTATAAAAGATTTTCCCCAAATGTTTCGAAACATATTTAGATATCTTTCCATCAACAAAAAACACATCGTACGTCGCCAACAATTTTCGTTTCATTTCAAATTCGTTGTATTCCGTTTTGAGTTCGTGTAAAGGTAAGATTTTATTGATTTTCGTTTCAACACCTTTCTCAATAAACAACTTCTCATAATATTCAGCAACTTTTTCATGCTCTTTTTTAACAATTCCATCAACATCGCTTACAATAAAACACACAGTTGAGTCCTCATCATGCAACATGTGCTTCAAAGGAAGCCGAACCGTTCTTGCTGGACAAATTGGGACTTTAAATGATGATAATAATAAGAAAATCGGAGTGTCTAAATCTAATAATTGATTTTCATTCTTTTTTTGTTCCAAAATTTTAAATAAAGCGTGTATTCCGGAGATTATTGATGGTTTATCAAAGTTTAATTGGTTTAATACTTTATTTATGTCTAATTCTTGCGAAATTGGTGATAATTCGGTGGTCTTAACCTCACTTTCTTCATTGTCACTTGACATAACCTCACTTTTTAATTTTTTTAATTTCTTCTCCAATTTTAATTTTTTTTCGAATTTCTTCACTTTATTACCTTCATCTTGCGATCCACCCGGTTTATTCAAACGAACATATTTTCCAGGTTCATTTTCTTCCTGAATTTTTCGCTTTATTTTAAAGCGTTTTTTCTCCGTATTTCGTTCCATTTTCACTAAATTAACGCACTTACCAATACTTTAACGAACAACTAATCTAATCTATTTAATTCTTTTTTCCTTTTTAAACTAAATTAATTGCACGTGTTGTTTTAAAAAAGCCAAACAACGATAAGAAAAGTGAGGTTATGTGTCAGAAAATGGATACGTTCATTAATGCGTGATTCATAACCTCACTTTATTTTAATTATTTATTTATTAAAATGGATCAAAATATAAACGATTAGTAAGAAAACTAAGCAAAAAAGGAATTTTGTAAATGAAAAGTTTATTTTTAGCGCAAAATCGTTAATTGAAGCACATCAAAAACCGATTGTGAGATTAAATATTGGAGGGGTAAAAAGGTTTTTACCTCAAAATGATAATAATGAGCCAATAAATAATAATTTGGAGGTTTTAAAAAGAACGTTAAGCTTCCCTAGAGTCGATAGAAGGTATTTGACACGACCTAATTTCTTCATTTGACATTTTTTTTGTAGAAATCTGAGATCGCAAGGATTATATCTGCCACAAGAACGCCTCATTTTAATCAAAAAATTGCACAATATACAGAACGTGGGGTTTCGAAACAAATCTGGGATGTATTTCAACTTGGAAGAAGCTTTGTACTTTTTAGAAACTGTAAATTAATAACTAATAATTAGTTATATTAATTTTTTTTAATTTATTTTTTAGAATCGATTAGAAGTTTTTTGGAACAACACTCCGATTAGTATCCAACAAGCTTATTATTTATTCATAGATGATTTATTAACATTAGATAGATACAAAGTTTACAAAAAATGTATGACTCACAGCTTTCAAGTGGCACGATTTAAAGAACATGAAGAACCCCCTTTAAAAAAACCTAAATTAATCGATCAAAATGAAGAAAAAAACGAAAAAATGATAGATATTTTTAAACAATTAAAAGAAAAAGCTCCAAAACAAGTTGAAAATGTCAATGTTCAACAAATCCCAGTTTATTCTTGTATTAATCCGAGACAAACTGATTTAAACAACAAATATAACGTGCATATAGTGTAAGGAGTAAGTTTTATCTCTTCGTGATTAAGATTTCTTATCCTTTTAGTAACCAAGAAATGGACCCCAAAATAGGTTTTTACGCGGAAAATGTCCCAAATTTATTTGCAATAACAACAAACGACGATATTCCTTTATATAGAATAAGTAAAGTGTCTTTACCATGTTTATTTTAATAAAATAAAGATTAATTTTAATTTTAATTATTTAAAAACAAACTTGAAGTTAGATATTAAAGCATAACCTCACTAAGGAAAAACATGATTTTGATTTAAAAAATGTTATTTAAATAACATTATTAATAATTAAGCGACGATATTCCTTTATATAGAATAAATAAAGTGTTTTTACCATGTTTATTTTAATAAAATAAAGATTAATTTTAATTATTTAAAAACAAACTTGAAGTTGGCTCATTAAAACATAACCTCAAAAATAAGTCTAATCTCACTAAAAAGAAAAACACTATTTTGATTTAAAAAATGTTATTTTTATCGTTTTTGCGACAAATCCCGCTTCATATACTTAAAAGGATTTAACACAAAGATTCGCATTGGGTAAATATTAACTAATTTTTTATTTATTTATTAATCCTTTTAGTAACCAAGAGATCGACCCCAAAATAAGTTTTTACACGGAAAATGTCCCAAATTTATTTGCAATAACAATAAACGACGATATTCCTTTATATAGAATAAGTAAAGTGTCTTTACCATGTTTATTTTAATAAAATAAAGATTAATTTTAATTATTTAAAAACAAATCTGAAGTTGGCTCATTAAAACATAACCTCACTAAAAAAAAACATGATTTTGATTTAAAAAATGTTATTTAAATAACATTATTAATAATTAAGCGACGATATTCCTTTATATAGAATAAATAAAGTGTTTTTACCATGTTTATTTTAATAAAATAAAAATTAATTTTAATTATTTAAAAACAAACTTGAAGTTAGATATTAAAGCATAACCTCACTAAAAAGAAATGCACGATTTTGATTTAAAAAATGTAATTTTTTTCGTTTTCGCGAAAAATTTCGCTTCATATACTCAAAAGGATTAAACGCAAAAATTCGCATCCTTTATATAGAATAAGTAAAGTGTCTTTACATGTTTATTTTAATAAATTTAATTATTTAGAAACAAACTTGAAGTTGGCTCCTTAAAAGATAACCTCAAAAATAAATCTAACCTCACTAAAAAAAACACGATTTTGATTAAAAAAAATGTTATTTTTATCGTTTTCGCGACAAATCCCGCTTCATATCCTTAAAAGGTTTAAACATAAAGATTCGCATTGGGTAAATATTAATTTAAAACATAAAAAAATTAATAAATATAACCTAAAATTTTTGTTCTTTATAGTCGGTGGCTCGTAAAAAGAAATCGCACACTCAAAGAGCCCTCGAACATTTCAACGAATTTTACGAACCGATTTATAAAACAGATTGGGGAGGTATTCGGCAAGGATTACTTACCCGGCAAAAATATGTGGCTTTAATAAACAATTTTTCTGACTCTGAAAGGATTTGTAATGAATTAGAACGAACCGGCGCAATGAATTTGCGGAGATTATTTCATTTAGAAAAGGAATATTTAAGTATTAATAACAAGAAGTTAAACCAAAGTATTAAAACTTTAAAAAATACTAATAATGAGAGTATTAATGAAGATAAAATTGAAAAAATCGATTCAAATCGAATTATAGATGGTGTTAATTCAAATTTGAGCTTAACCGAATTTGTTCCTGCCACAAAAATCAAAGGGATGGAAGATTTTATAACAGAATCAGAACATTATAATTCTTATAACCCCCAAGATTCTTCTATTGTAGAAATTGAAAAACAATACGATTTTAATTTCCCAAATACCTTAAATGTTTATATATACGACACGATGGATAAACAAACATTTAAATCGCCCCGAAAAGGCTCAACAGGCGTTTTAGATTATTATTTATTAGATGCAGGTTCTTTACTCCCAATTTTAGCCCTAGATATCCAACCAAACGAAAAAATCCTCGATATGTGCTCCTCCCCCGGTGGAAAAAGCTTAATAATCCTTCAAACTCTTTACCCAAAAACCCTAATTTGCAACGACATCTCAAAATCAAGAATTGACCGTATTTTTAAAGTCATGAAAGAGTATTTGTACGATTTAAACGAAAATTGGTTCGAAACCGGGCGATTAAAAATCCAAAATATGGATGGGAGGGATATTAATGACGAATTTGATAGGGTTTTAGTGGATGTTCCATGTACGACCGATCGGCATTCGGTTAATCAAGAAGATAATAACATTTTTAAACCCGATCGGATTAAAGAACGATTAAAGTTACCTGAATTGCAGTCCGATTTACTTGTGAATGCGTTAAAAATGGTTCGAATTAATGGAACGGTGGTTTATTCGACTTGTACGTTAAGTCCCATTCAAAACGACGGGGTTGTTCATATGGCGTTAAAAAGGATTTGTGAAGAAACCGATTTAGGGTTTAAAATAATGTAAGTGAAATTATTTTGAGGTTATGTACGTTTTAATTGACGTTTAAATTTTTTTTTGGTTTAATTTGATTTGAGAAATAAACTTATTAGTTTATTATAAATAATTTTGATCGATTATACGATATTAACATTATTGTTTATAAAAAATGAATTAATTATTTAAAAAAAAATTAAATTAAATTAATTTTTTTGACGTTGGTAGTAATGAATTAAAAATTGAAATGTCATTGTCAAAATGAAAAAGTGAGGTTAAAATTATTTGAAATAATTTTTTTTAGTGATATGAGACCTGCTTTAATGCAGGTACTTACCTCTTATAAAATGTTTGGATCCTCCTGGAAATATGGTCACTTGGTTGTTCCAAATCTAAGTCGAAATTTTGGGCCTACTTATTTTTGTAAATTGGAGAGAACGCGGTAGTCTGGAAAAAATCAAAAAGGAAAAACGTTTCGATGATCGAGGATTGATTAAAAAGAAAATATTAAAAAAGTGTTTTTAAAGGATAACTTTAGATCTTTAAGGATTAACATAAGGATTAAATTTTTCCTATCATACAAAGACTTTTTTATTCAAATAGGCTGAAATTATCTATACATAGTAAATTAATTCATTATATTCTTCTATAATAATATATTTATATATAATTCACAGATTTCATTTCAGTTTAATCTCGTTAATTCTTTTACCATTATATTTATTTATATTTATATATCCACAAGTGAGCAAAATACGCGTTCGCTTACGGTATCCTTAAAAAAATATACACAACTTTCTGCACCGTTTCTTACTAAATTAAAAACAACTAAATTAATTCTACGCGCGCTTACATAGCGAAATAAAGAAACGAAACAGTGAGAAATAGAGAGAAAGATTTGCTACGAAAAATGTACATGAAGAATCAAAAAGAAGAAATGAGAGAGCTAAAGAAATCTACTTTAACGACCAAACAGTTGATTATACAACATTAATTTACCACATAAGATATTTTGTTTTCGTTAAAGCCCCTATTTTAGCGAGACTCAAAACAAATAACTAAAAACCTTTTATTTCGTTCGTTCAAATTCATTATTTAGTAGTTTTTTTGTTAAATTCTTTTGGTTCACTTTCGTTTTAGATGCGAAGAAGAAAAGAAAACATGCAATTTTTATCTTGTTGAAGCAAAATCTTTTACCTATAACGACAGCAATTAAAGGACTTTTTATTTGGCGGCTTTTTAATCATCTTACAGCGCGTTACGATGCCACACCCACGTCTTCTTCGTATGATCGAATCGATGCGCCAACCATTGTTGCTCCAATAATCTATAACGGTCTCTACTTAAATATAACGGCTTTCCACGTCTATAAAAAAAGATAAATAAATTATTTTATTAAAATATTACTGAATACAGTAAATATAAATAAGATAAAATGGATATTAAATATAATGGACAACATATTTTTAAGTCAATTGTTGAAACTGTCACTTTTTTGACATTTAAAGCTATCAACAGCGTTGGTTTCGATAGCAACTAAACAAAAAACAATACAAACAAGCAAATATCGCCAAAAAATACGCCACGATTAATAAAGAAACTTGTATTTGAAACATTTTTCTTTAAAACTACAAATGGCGAAGTTATTGGCTATATTCCAGACATTTGACACACCCTGTATATTATCAATTATACAGGGGGTGTTTCTGTAAGTCGTGGCATAAATTTAATCACTGAAACTAGAGACAAAATGATGACGATTCGTGTTTTTATTAGTTACTAATTTACAAAATTAAAGTTTAAAAAGTTGTAAAATGAAATTAACGAAGAAGTGTTACAAATTTATAGGTAAAATTTTAAGAACGCTCTTTTTTAACTTTTTTGTGGCTTAAAAATCGATAATTTTTTTTAATCAATGTGAAATGACCCAAAAAACACCTTAAAAATAAAAATAAAATGCGGACAAAGTGACTAACACTAGATTAACTTCAATTATAAAACTTCTATTCATGATAACTAACTTCAGGTTTAAAATGCCAACCTCAATTTTGACATATTTGTAATCTTCATTAAAAATTCTTTAAAATGAGTCCAAACACGATATATTTATCTTCAATATTAATGAAGTTATGGTCAACTTCCGCTTTGAAATGTCAACGTCATTTTGACATATTGATAATTTTTATAAAATGTCTTAATATTTGTCACAAAAACAAAAATGTAATTAAAAAAATCAAAAATTAAGGTTGGTATTAATATTTAAAAATTAAATAGCTATCTTCATTGTTGCTAACTTCGGGTTTAAAGTTTTTCATTCTAACTTTTTTTGTCTTTTGAGATAAGTACATCATATTTGGACTAATTTTAAATGTTTTTTAATAAACAATACATCATGAAAGAACACCATGAAGTTGTCCATTTGTCTATTATATGATAACTAACTTCAGGTTTAAAATGTCAACCTCAGTTTTGACATATTTGTAATCTTCATTAAAAATCCTTTAAAATGAGTACAAACACGACATATTTATCTTCAATATTAATGAAGTTATGGTCAACTTCCGGTTAAGAATGTCAATTTTGACATATTTGTAATCGTCGTGAAAAATCCTTTAAAATGAGTCCAAACATGATACGTTTAATTCGAATATTACTCGAGATATAAGCAACTTCCGGTTTGAAATGTCAACGTCATTTTGACGTATTGATAATTTCTATAAAATGTCTTAATATTTGTCACAAAAACAAAAAAGTAATAAAAAAAATAAAAAATTAAGGTTGGTATTAATATTTAAGAATTAAATAGCTATCTTCATTGTTGCTAACTTCGGGTTTAAAGTTTTTATTCTAACTTTTTTGTTTTTTGAGATAAATGCATCATGTTTGGACTCATTTTAAAGGTTTTTTAATGGAGATGACAAATATGTCAAAATTGACGTTGACGTTTCAAACCGGAAGTGATTGCATTTCCATTAATATTAAAGTTAAATATGTCGAGTTTGGACTCATTTTAAAGGATTTTTTATGAAATTGACAAATATGTCAAAATTAAAAGTTGAAAGTTCGAACTTTAAAGGTTATTTTATGAAAATTACGAATATAATAAAAATAAAGGTGACATTGACAACTGAAAGTTGAATGAAAAAACCCGAATAAAAAAAAAAAAAAAATATTTTCTACAAAAGTTGTTTAACCCACCACTTCCTATTACGTAAAATTATTTTCACTTATACAGGATGTTCCATTTAGCCATTTGCCTGAGTGTGATTTCGATCTGCGAAGGCGCTTTAATTAGAACTAAGGCCGTTCTTTGTTGTTGTTTACTGTAATTTTTTTGACATTTAAAGCTGTCAACGGTGCTATTTCGGCGCCTACTTTGATTGTAATTAGCTGATTTAATACTTTCAAAAAACGCAGTTTTTCTCATTTTTGGTCTTATTTCTTTAAAACCATAAATATTAGTTTCAACATCCTAAATTTTGTTTTAAGCACTGTTGATAGATAATATAAATCCTACTGCCTCAGCAGCATAGCTTCCTCAGCTCCTTTCACCATATTAATCCATCATATCGAGGTTTTACTGTATATAATTAATTATAGTACTTACTTTAAATCCCGATCTTCTTCTTCAAAATCATCCAAATACAACGACCCCCATAAACAAGCTCTTTGTCCTCTAATAACGATAATATACGTCGATGTAACAACCAAAAAAATTCCAGTTCCAGCTCCGCATTCCAACGAGTGCGCCACAGCCTCACAAACGTTTTGTTGTTTGCAACAATTTTGTTTTAAACAAACGATCGTTCCGCATAATAAACATACGCTTGTCTCGCTTGGTACCGAATGGCATTGAGTGCACGGCCTCTCATGGTAATAAGTAAAAATTTTCTCGTACTCTCTAGGTAAATCTAAAAGCCTCGGCGCGTGCCAACTAATATGTTGATCAATTAGAAATGAGCGAGCTGCAATTTGACTTTTTGCGATAAAAGCTGCGTATTGTGAGCACCAAATTTTTGGGGTTTTTCGATGGATTGGCTCCGGGGCGCCCGAGGACCAATTTAAAGCGACCGCCGCGTTAAAACAACCCCAATCCATACCCTCCGTCACCAGTTCTAAGTAATAAACCAAACGGACGTATTCGGATTGAGGGGCGCGGATGTCGGGAAGCGGTTGGTTGTAGATGTGATGACGTAAAAGTGTGGCTACTCGTAAAAACGGCAAACATAATTTTTGTATTTGTTGTTCGAGGGCAATAACGTTCACTTGGGGTTCTTGAGACGCCGCTCCATCATCAGTAATCGTATACAAATCAGTTTCACCAAGAACCTCATTAATAAGGAGCAAAGCTGCCCCTAATGAGTCAATATGCGACGTTGAAGCTCCTTCGCACGCTTTTAATCGTTCTGGACCGGTTAAACCACATGATATTTGACATACAGCTTGATAATAAAGTAGATTATATACAACTTTTACTATTGTAGTAAAATAAACTAAAATATAAAAATATTGATTAAAAAAATTCAATGATAACAATATTAATATTACCTTGATCGACGTGGAGTGGTAACAACAGAACAAACTGTAAAAGTAAAGCGATGGGATCGCGTAATAACAAAGGAACTTCTCGGTCCACGGCCGCTAAAGCATTCGTGGGTGTCGCAGGGTAACCGGATAATTGTTGCAGATTCATCCATGCTGGCCACAAGGCTAAAACTCGTGCGTGTAAAGCTAATACGTGCAGTAACGGTACTGAAATTAAGAAAAAAGTATTAAAAATGTTTAAGTCAAAATAAAAAGTGAGGTTAAATTTGAAATAAATTCATTTCATTTTTTTGACGTTGGTAGAAAATTTAATTCTAAGTGTCAAAGTCAAAAAAAAAAGTGAGGTTAAGTTTAATTATTTGAAATAAATTGATTTTATTCTTTTTTCGTACTTATAATTGGAGTTAAAGTTGATTTTTAACTATAAATCGCGTTTGCGACCAATTTAATTCAAAAAATAATCGCGAACGAGCACAATTTTGTTGTAAATTAGCGCATTTCAAAAAAGAACTAGTTAAGGTTATGTTAGATGTTTAAATTAGACGTATTGATACAAGATTATCAAAATTAATGAAATGAGTGAAAATAATAATGAATCAATGTCTATCTATTAATTAATTCAAATTTTAATAATTTTACTTAAAATCGTATTTAATTTATTTTTTTGACGTTGGTAGTTTGGAATCGAAAATTTAATTTTAAAGTGTCATTGTCAAAATAAAAAAGTGAGGTTAAATTCGATTATTGGAAATAAATTAATTTTATTCTTTTTTTTTACTTATAATTGAAGTTAAGACTAATTTTTGACTTTAAATCACGTTCGAGATCAATTTAATTCATAAATTAACCGGGAACGAGCACAATTTTGTTGTAAATTAGCGCATTTCTAAAAAAACTGTTTGTTAAGGTTATGTTAGATGTTTGAATTAGACGTATTGATACAAAATTATCAACATTAATGAAACGGGCATTATATAATGAGTGAAAATAATAATAATTTGAATTAATTAATTCAAATTTTAATAATTCCACACAAAATCGTATTTATTTTTTTTTGAAGTTGGTAGTTTTTTAATTTAATTTTAAAGTCATTGTCAAAATAAAAAGTGAGGTTAAGTTTAATTATTTGAAATAAATTAATTTTACTCCTTTTTTGTACTTATAATGACTAAAATATACTTACTTATGCAATCTCGTTTAGGTAACAAAGGATTCAAAGGTTCACCAGTAGTAACCAAAGTTCCCGATCGTTGAGTCAACGCAATTTCGAGGTTAGTGCGCGCTATCGACGTCACAAATAAAAACAAACTTTGATTGCTACACTGCGGATTTTGTATTTTAAACATCGGCTTGGTTTGCGCATTATTCGTCATGTCCTCCATCGCTCGACTCATCGCCTCGCTCAAATTCGATTTGTTCGGCTTTTGGTGCGTTTCCCCTAAAACGCTGCTCAACTCGTTAATGACTTGTTCCATGCTCGTGGGGCGCGATCGCACCATTTGGGTGCAATCCCCCAATTGTGGGGATAAGGGAAGTACCGAATTCGCTAATTGGCGGCATAACGGGCAGTGATATTCACCTCTAAAATAAAATTTTAGTTATTATAAATTGTTTTTTAAGTTAATAAATTAATTTACTTTTCAGGGGATAAATTTTGTTGTCTTTGTTGCGATCGGAGCGAGTGTAAATAAGATTTTAAACAGTCTAAATGTAAGTGATGTCCGCAAGTTTGGACGTGAACTCCACCTTCCCATCCAACGTTAATTGATAATAACCAAGATTGCTACAAAAAAAAATTTATTGATATAAAATATTTTTTTTTATGGCGATTTTTAATTACTGGGTCGAAATGTTGTCCTAATTGTTCCACCCTCCTATCAAATTCGGTTATAAGCGTGTCATCTCGTCTTAATCCATCTTTTTCTTCTTCGCAAGTTGGTAAAACGGCCCTTTCGGGGTAACACTGCCTCCTTCTATGTCCAATAATACTAGTAGCTTGCACCAAAACGACTAATCCCATTGGTTTATCCTCCGTACTAGGCGTGCTTTGATTACAAATCACGCAATCATATTCTTGGACGTTTAAGCCACCTTCAGGTTGCCAATCCATTTCTGTCGCGCTCGCTTCTTCCTCCATTTGTTTCTCCATAAATTGTTTCTGTTTAGAGGCAAACTCCGCCATCAATTTTTGTTGGCGCTCTTTCGCCCGCCTTCTTCGTTCCTCGCGAACGCTATCCTCTTTCGTTTCTTGCGGATTTTCCTCACATTCCTCCAATTTCGGCCATAACCTTTCCTTCGTCTCTTGAATAAACCGTTTGCAATCATCGTCCAAATTCCAAATTCGTTTAAGTAACTTCGCAACGTAAAAGGGGCCATCGCCGTACATATTTTCGTCGCCCGCCAACGTTTCATCGGTGACATCTTCGGGATGAAAGCTGTCCAACGATCCGGAAAGTTGCGAGTGAAGTTTTAAAAGGAGGGAGATTATGCTTTCGTCGACGCGAACTGTTGGGGGGTTTACGGTGGCGTTTTCAACGTTTTGTCGTCGTCTGTATGGATACGATTTGCGGTGACTAGAAGATGTGGACGGAATTAATTCTTTGCTGGTCGATGAACGGTGGGGCCAATTTTGTGAGGTTCTCCCCACTTCGTTTCCGGCCAAAACGGCTGGTCTTACACTTCTCGTTATTGCTGATACGAACGAAGGTACCGAATGAGAAGCTAAAAAGTGAATTATTAATTAATTAACGAATAACGAGGGATAGAAACTGTGGGAAATATCAGATAGATAGAATTATGAGCAGAAATTAAAAAACGAGGTGTTAAAAATGGTGTTCTGGAATGTAGCGGGGATTACGAATATTTGAAGGGATTTGAGGTGAATTGTCAAAGAAATTAAATTTACAGTTTCCTGTAAATAATAACTAAAAATTAAAAAAAACATATTTCTGATATTTGAAACAAATACATTTGTTGAACTATTTAATTTATATTTGTTTTACACAAAAGTTGGAATAGATTGCATTATTTCACATTTTTTTATTAATATTTAATATTATTATTAAATGACTTAGTGAATTATTGATAGATGGCGCTCATATATATTTATTAATAAAGTCCCTAGTGTCAAGCGGGAAATTTAAAACTATGTCGTTCTGTTGATAACATTACGTCAAATTTACTTTCTTTTTTTCCCGTGGTACTCTGAAGAGTCGAAAGTGCAAAATATTTTTGTAAATAAGTGATGAGATGCAGTGACAAGCTGTCAAACCGCCATTTTAGCTCGAAAACAGGCTTCATGAACCGCGGTACTTTGTAAATCTAGGGACTTTATTTTTTAAAGACCCTAGATTTACAAAGTACCGCACGGTTTATGGAATTTATGAAGATTTGACAGCTTGTCACCACTTATTTACAAAAATAATGCCGTTTTGTTGCCTTTGGAGTTGCAAAAATAGCAGTAAGAAGGGTTTTCGACTCTTCAGAGTACCACGAGAAAAAAAAATAAAGGAAATTTTGCGTAATTTTATCAACAGAACGACATAGTTTTAAATTTCCCGCTTGATTTTCGAGTCAAAATGGCGGCAAACCGGGCTAGTTTGATAATCTAGGGACTTTATTTAAATAAACAAAGCAACATTTGTTTGTATTAAAAAATTTTCTGAAGTGTCAAATAAAAAATCCCGTTTTTTAAGATGGATTACGAAAAGTTTAACTTGTTAGAATGTTACATATTAGAAAATAAAATTTCTTTTTGTACCGTAATTTACAGGAAACTGTAAATTTAATTTCTTTAAAAATAATAAAGCCAACACTAAGTGTTAAGCTGTAGGGTTGTTAATCGAAAGTTGGAATGAATTTTAAATGAATCTTTGTCATAAATATTTTTGACGTTTAAATGTCAGTGGTTTCTTACCATTATTATTGTTTTATTTAAAATTTTTAAACTAAATTAAATTTTGAAGCAACAAAAATTAATTTGAAAATCAATAATAATAGTAAGAAGAATACTTTGAAAGTTTGTTGCAGTCATTCAGATCCATCCTGTATACAGCGTGTCCCAGGATAGATGTTACAAGAGGTATAATGACTTAAAATGAATCAAAAACTATTTTTAGTTTAGGTAAAGTAGTTGTTCTTGATACAGAAAAATTTTATTAAGAAAAAAAAATGAAAATATACTTAAAATTCTCTCCACACCAAGCAGAGCTTAATTATACCTGTTGTAACATCTATCCTGGAACACACTGTATATTAGAATGTATTAAAGGGAAAATTGTAAATATTAAAAAACAATTTTAGTTAATTAGTTATTTTTTACCGGTGGAAGGGGCTCCAACGACGCTTCGTTCCCCCGGGACTGCAACTTGCATATTTTCCGCAGCGCCGGATGTTGAAGTTGAAGGTGGGGGTAAAGCTAATACTTGACTTTGAGTTGAACTCCCCGGTGTAGAAGCGACGTCTTCTAAGTTACTACTCGGTGGCATAAGCACCATTAAGTTACTACTACTTGGGGTGTGGCTCCATTCAGCTTCCTCCAACATTAAAACGTTTCCATGGGGTTCCGCCATGACTTCGTCGCTCATTTCAGCGTCGGGTTCGGAACCCCCATCCCATTCTAAATCACCTAAAATCGCTTAATTAATAAAAAAAAATAATTTTTTTTAAACATACTATCAGAACTGTAATTTAACGGGGTTACTTCCGGTTCGGGGGTTAAAATAACCCTCTCAATCACGGTTCTTAAATTTTCGGATAACGAATCGGAAACGAACCAATTCGCAACGTCCATATCGTTCATTTGGCGTTGAGGTTGAAGCCCGCTCGTACACATTTTCGACGACTACAAATAAAAAATTAATCAAAACTAAAAAATTTTTTAAAAATTAAATTCTACATTATCCTCCGGATCGCCCTCCTTTATGGCTTGTTCTAAAAGGAAAATTAACAATGCCAAAACGTGCTCGGATATATGCGTTTTAATGGCTTTGTATAAAACGACTAAAACAACCGCGTGGAATACTCTTGATCGTAAAATTTTTCTTGGGTCAATATAAGCCTCGCTGCATGGATTTGGGGTCCTAAACGGCGGCCAAGGATTCGTACCGGATCTAATTTTATTTTTTTGTTTAGCACTAAAACAAATTAATTAATTAATTAATTAAAATCATTAACAAAAAATAATCCTAATCATACTAAGCAGTGTATCGATCCATTGACGTTTGAAATTCTCTCCTATGCACAGCTCTTAATAAAACATGAATCGGATCGAAATGTTTATCCCAAACGCTTGATTTCGGCGAATATTGCCCTTGTTGCATCGTTCCGCATAACTCTAAAGCCGGGGGTTTGTAATTCGCAACTTCAGCTAATAACGATTCGAAATCTCGGCTTTGTGATGTTCCGCACCGTTCTGGCATCATCTCCATTAATTGTGAGTGGGTTTTATCACCCATACAAAGCAAAGTAACCATTTCTAAACGATTTAAAGCCGTCTCTGATAAGCCTAAATTCGTTCGGACGCTAACTAAAGTTGCTAAAAATGTTAAAAAACTTTCTAACATCGGCGTGTCTTGTTCGCCGTCGAAAAATGAATTTTGGGGTGCTTGGTAAGGGGCTAAACTCATCCATTCTTTAATGTGGAACTTTTCGATTAAGATTTTTAAAAAGGTGTCGGCTGGTATTCGGGTTGAACAAATTTGTAATAGGTATAAATCGGCGTCGACCATTGAGTTGCAAAAGTTGCATTGGATGTAAGTCATCGATTGACCTTTGATTTGAAGGCCGTTTCGAACCCATAATCCGTTTACTATTTCATAGAATGCTACCTGTAATTAAAAGAAATTCAATTTTTAGAAACAATCTTCAGCGGATCCTAAAGTTTTAATATTAAGTTTATTTCTATATTTCAATTTTATAGATTGTGTAATTTAATGTGTTTTGAATTATAAAATAAGCGTGAAGTTAGCAAATGTCAAAATTTGTTCTGTCAAATTATAAAATTTTACCTTTCATAATCTAACTTTCTAATTTTTTTAATTTTTTCATAGGGTTAAATTTTTCTTCGAATTATTTTACATTCATCTTGTAATCCACTTGGTTTATTTAAACAAACACATTGTCAGGTTAATTTTCTTCCAACATTTTTCTTTTAAAATCCAAACCCTTTTTTTCTGTATTTAAAGTCCCGTTTCTTTGAATTTTTCACAAATATTACTGCACTCACCAATGTTTTAACTGTAATCTAATCAATTTATTCTTTTTTTTCAGTTTTAAAATAAATTAATTACACGTATTGTTTTAAAAAAGGCAAACAACAATAAGAAAAGTGACGTGATGTGTCAGAAAACGGGTACGTTCATTAATGCAATGATACATAACCTCAAATTAATTTTATTAAACAAAATAAAGATAATTTATTAACTCTTATATTGTTTTTTGTTCCCTCCAACAAGTGTGGGATTGGAAAAAGCATTTTGAGCAGCAGGCTTGATTTTGTACTAAAATTCGTTCATCCCTTAACCATTAAACTATTGACAGTTTGTGTTTCAAGGACATACTTCAATAGAATATTCTAATTGTTTTAATATTGAATATATTTATTTTGAATATTCAGTAATGACTGAAACTTTTAGTTGTCAATAACAACTTTAATTTTATTATTATATTCGTAATCTTCATAAAATAACCTTTAAAGTAACGCATTTCTCTCAAAAAAACAAAAAGTTCGAACTTTCAACTTTCAATTTTGACATATTTGGCAATTTCATAAAAAATCCGTTAAAATGAGTCCAAACTCGACATATTTAACTTTAATATTAATGGAAATACAACCACTTCCGCTTTGAAACGTCAACGTCAATTTTGACATATTTGTCATCTTCATTAAAAAACCTTTAAAATGAGTCCAAAGATGACGCACTTATCTCAAAAAACAAAAAAGTTTGAATAAAAAACATTAAACCTGAAGTTAGCAACAATGAAATTATTTAATTTTTAAATTTTAATACCAACCTTAATTTTTTATTTTTTTTTTATTATATTTTTGTTTTTGTGACAAATATTAAGACATTTTATAAAAATTAAGAATGTCAAAATGACGTTGACATTTCAAACCGGAAGTTGCTTATATCTCGAGTAATATTGCAATTAAACGTATCATGTTTCGACTCATTTCAAAGGATTTTTCACAACGATTACAAATATGTCAAAATTGACGTTGACATTCTCAACCGGAAGTTGACCATAACTTCGTTAATATTGGAGATAAATATGTCGTGTTTGTACTCATTTTAAAGGATTTTTAACAAAAATTACAAATATGTCAAAATTGAGGTTGACATTTTAAACCTGAAGTTAGTTATCATATAATAGAAGTTTTATAACTGAAGTTAATCTAGTGTTAGTCACTTTTCAGCACTTTCTTTTTATTTTTGACGTGTTTTTTGGGCCATTTCGCGGTCTAATTGTAAAATAAGTGTGAAGTTAGCAAATGTCAAAATTTGTTCTATCAATTTTACCTTTCATAACCTCACTTTCAAATTTTTTTAATTTTTTTCGATTTATTTTATTTTCATCTTGTAATCCACTTGGTTTATTTAAACATACACATTGTCAGGTTTATTTTCTTCCTACGTTTTTCTTTTAAAATCGAAACCCTTTTTTTCTATATTTCAGTCGCGTTTCTTTCCATTTTCCATTTTTCACAAATATTACTGCACTCACCAATACTTTAACTGTAATCTAATCAATTTATGCTTTTTTTTCCATTTTAAAATAAATTAATTGCACGTCTTGTTTTAAAAAAAAGCATATAACAATAAAAAAAAGTGACGTGATGTGTCAGAAAACGGGTACGTTCATTAATGCAATGATACATAACCTCAAATTAATTTTATTAAATAATATAAATATATTTTATTAATTCTTATAATATTGTTATTTTGAATAGAATATTCTAATCGTTTTAATATTGAATATTGATATTCTAACTACTATTTTCAAACGATAATTCAAATGTCAAAGTGACACATTGATATAAAAACATGAGATAACAAAATTCCCTGTTAATTTCATCAAAGCGTTACCAATTTTAATGATAGTATTTGCACGAACAAAGAAACATCTATGTGAGATATGCGAAAGAAATCTATTGATACAAGCTTGGAGAATAAAGAACGTTGTGATTAATCATCGAGATAAAACAGGATGTACATTATTAATTATAATTTGTATTAATCAAGATAAGTGACAATTTAAACGTCAAAACATAACCAACAAAAAATGACTTTTGCTGTTGTAGCAAAACTTAGATTTTGTGTGTTTAGATTAAGAAAAGTTAACAGGTTATCGTAATCGCTGCTTTTTTTCTGATTAGATTGAGACAACCAAAACGGAACAAACTTTTACGATAATTAAAGGTTTGAATAACAAGTTCTTTAAACGGCTGTTTAATTTGATTCACAATCAGACAAATATAGATACCAACAGACTTCAATAACAGCACAAAGTTCGCTGCACCTTCCTTTGTTTATATACAAACTACAAACATCACGCTCTATAATTAAATTAAAAAAGGACTTATCTTATTGGATTTTCCAATGCAACACAGTGCAGTATACAGTATAATTCATAATAATAAGTTTAAGATTGAAATACTTTTTGCCGTCATTGTATACATGACAAGATAAAGTGGGGGTAACCATAGCAACAAGAGAGTGGAGGCCAACACGAGCTCAGTAAGCAAAAACCGCGCCGAAAACCGAGCCCGTTTTTCCACGTTATGGCCAAAATTAAAAAAACAATGAAAAGATGAAGTTTTCTGTAATAATTTTCGTGACATTTACGTTAATTTCGGGCGAAACAACTCCAATCGGGAGTTTAACAAGCATCGCCGGAGGAATAAAAATGTTAACGTCCGGAATAAAGGATATCGTGGAATTTGTAGGTGACCACATCGTTGAGGGCGGCCCCATGCCGTTCGGACTCAAAAACAAACACAACGAAGTAATGGAACGAATCCAAGAGGTTATCGAAAAAATAGATGACGTTAAAGAGGCTACGCTAGCCGGTCAAATGGCGATGATCGCAAAAATTTTGAATCAAGTCCGAAAAGTGGTCCAAATCGAGGTTCGATCGAACGATTTATTTCAAAGCATTCACAAAATCGAATCGCAATACAAATTGATGTCGTTGTATATTAGCCGACGTGACGATATCCAACAGTCAACGTTCGAGGACTTTGCCAATAACGCAATATCCCATCGATCGAATTCAATAAGATCTTTGCTTCATCATATTCATCATTTTATAGTTACGGATAAGAACTCGCATAACTTAATTGACTCAATAGCTGACAAGGTAAGTTAAGTTATTATAAAAATAAAATTTTGTAAACGAAAGAAAAGAAAGGAATGAGTCACTTCGCAAGCGTGACTAACACAAGAAGTAATTTTGAAAGTTCCCGCGCATGAACCAACATCGATGACACGTTCCCCCACTATCGAAACGCCATAACAAGTGAAAACGGATAACAACAGAACAGTTGAGTGAACACAGCCTTATAGATCAAAACAGTTGTACCAAAATAAATCAGCTGATTAAAAATAAAAAAGTATCTATAATAAATAAAATCTAATAGTGAGTTTAACGTTGTTATGTTGGTGGTTAATTAGTATATATAAATAATATAAAAGGTGATTTCACTTAATTAGAGCACTACATCGAGATTAGTAACTCTTGTTTATTAAGAATTTAACCTTGACAAATCGGATCGCAACGGATGTTGAGAGAAAAGGTCTGTAAAGAAGAACACGTCGACGAAAAATATCCAATTCATACATAAATTAAAATTTACTGTTTACTAAGAGTAACGGTTTCTGTTGTTAAAAACTTTATGGTCCGTTATTTTATTATCATTCGTTTATTTAAATAGTGGGATGTGCGCGGAACGTTGCAGTTGCCGCGTGACGTCATAAAAGCAAATTGTCTAATATCCGGCACAAAATTGATTAGAAAAGGGTGACTCCTCTGCTATTTTTTGATTACGAAAGAATTTTGTAATAAAATGAGTTCATTCTTTTAATTTTGAGTTATGAAATTCATTTAATAACATAAATTCCATTTTTAATCATTTAAAAAAATTTGGATACGTTCAGATAACCAAGTATGACAAGCTGTCAATATTATTTGTCGATTTTATATAAAGGTGTTTATAAATAATTTAACCTCTTTCGTAATCTAAAAACGATAAGAGTAGATACGAAAGTTTTAGTGAAAATATTTTGTGTTATCAAACAAACTTGTTCATAAATTGCAATCGTTTCAAAATAATGCATTTGGAAATAAAGTTTGAGATAATTTTTAATAAAATTAGAGTTCTAAGGAACAACTACACATATTCGTTTTGTAGACATGCGTGATTCATGGTAAAATTGTGAAAATAACACATAATTTTCTTAACGCTAAACTACATAATGACGCATTTTTGCATTTTATAATAACAAAATCTCGCCTCAACCTAATCACAACAAAAACTTTGTTTTTTTAGTCTCTTATTCTATATGGCTGCTTAATCTTATTAATAAGTACTCTTTTTCCACTCGAAATAATATAGGATTGATTTTAAATTCTATTTTTAAATAAATTGTTGCAGTTTTATAATAACTATGTTTCAACAAGCGTTTTTGTTATAAAATTCCTATAATAACTTCGTTTTGCTTTCTAACAGCCTTAATTTATATTCTTTGTATAGCATCATTCATCAAAAATAAAGCAGCATAATCTAGGTAACCTAAAATATAGTTATACAATAGTCAACTTTATATCAAGATCATGAAATATAATTGTATAGCGTCTCGGTTGCTAATGACCTTGGCACATTCTCATTCGCCCATAAAAAACAATAAAGCTTCATTTCCTTACTTAGACTCTAGATTTCTAGATTTAGAGCGCGTTTTATATTTGGTGGTCTCGATTGTAGCGTCTCGACCATAACCCGATATTATTGCTTCAAATCGTTAATTCCCATTACAAATTACAGCTTCTGTATATAACATCTTGCCGGTTGTGTTAAAATTAATAAGTTTTTGGTTTTTAAAATGTACACATTTCAGTGTGTCAAATGATGAGATGCGCCAAATTTATTTGAATTTTACATAAACACTTTCATTAACTTGCAATGAACCTACAATTAAAAGTGGCTGAATTGTATTACAAGGCTGCAAATAATTAGTTTTGATGAGAAGTGCGAAATTTACCAAGGTTATTTGTTGCCGAGGTGCTTAAATTGAATGTTTTTTCAAAATTAAATTTTGTCTCTGAGGATCTTATGGAGAAGAAGATGAACTATAAGATATAAAGCTCGTATTGCATAACAAGGCTATACAGCGTGTTCCGTCTTCCGCATCAGAGCATTATACGGTTGTAGAATACATTATTCTGAAGCGATCTTCCTAATAAATTTTTTTCGAAATGTTTATAATAACCGCACGGGAACTGTTTAAACGAACTGTTTTTCAGCCAATGGCAGATCGTAAATCATCGGTGCCACGCTTGGCCGATCCGCTACGCCGATGATAACGCGTTTCTCAAGTGTACTCACCAATAGATTCGACACGGAAAGAGAAATAAACTTTTTCCGTGAACGCTATTGGTCGCTTTTAATGGGAAAACTTTGAAAGTCCCCAAAATCGTTTGTCGCCTAAACGCTATAATCGAGACTGTTAAAGAAAAAGTGTAAGATAAAAAAACTTCAATTGCAATGCCTCGGGCGTATGTTGCTTCGGCTCATCCACGTAAATACATACATTCTCCGTTCAAAATTAAACCGAGGTCGATTGCGGATGAGGCTTAAGATTGCTACTAGCATATTTAGAGACACGTTACATATTTATAATAAAACCTGAGGTCGCTTGCGGCCGAGGCTCAGTGATTAAAATGATATTAACCCAAAACTAATCGTCCCATTGCTGCGCCTCGGCTTTAATTACTATAAGTTGTGATGTTATTCGATTAAGCCGAGGTCGCTTGCGGCCGAGGCTCAATGATGAAACGACACATCATGTTGTAGTGCCTCGGCTTTAACTATTACAAGTAATACGATGTTATCTGATTAAGCCAAGGTCGCTCGCGGGCGCGGCTTTATAACAAATATCATATCAACCCCCAAATCTAATCATCACATTCCTGCGCCTCGACTTTAATTGCAGTGAGAAGTTTACAACAGAGAATATATGATTAAGTCGAGGTTGCTTGCAGCTGAGGTTCAACAGCTAATATCATATAAACCTGAAACTAATTATCATATTGCTGCGCCTCGGCAGCAAGCAGCCTCGGCTTGATTTCCATAAGAAATGTATGATTTTATCCGACTAAGCCGAGATCGTTTGCGGCCGAGGCTCAATGATTAACATTGTATCAACCTCAAACTGCACATCATATTGTGGCGCCTCGGCATTAATTACTATAGAAAATATATGATGTTTTTCTATTATGCTGAGGTTGCTTGCGGCCGAGGCTCTACAATTAATATATCTACCCAAAATTAATCATCACATTGCTCCGAAATATATGATGTTATTCGATTAAACCGAGGTCGCTTGCGGCCGAGGCTCAATGATTAATATTGTATCAACCTAAAAATGAACAACGTATTGTGAGGCCTCGGCTTTAATTACAACACAAAATATATAATTAAGTCAAGGTTGCTTGCGGCCTCAGCTTTAATTACAGTAAAAAATATATGATTTCATCCGATTAAGCCGAATTCGCGTGAAGTTTAGATGCTACAATTAATATCCCAAAACTGTTTGTCACACAAGACCTCGGCTTAATCGGATTGATATAATATCATAATGTGGTGCTTCAATCGCGAACAGTATCGTAAATAATAGTAATTGATCTGAGGCTGCTTGCAGCTGAGACACATCAATATGGTATCAATTAATAACGCCTCGGTTTTTCTTAATCATTTGATAAAAGTTCAATTTTCTGATCTTGGCATAGAAACAATTATTGTATAATTAGGTTATGAAGCTTTATTTATGATGAGCAAGTTAAAATCGCCAACTTTTGATTTTTAACGCTTGTTAAAAAAATGATTTTTGAGCTATATGGATAAACTTGGGGATGTGTTCCTCATGACAAATAGGTGAAAAAATTGCAGTAAAAGTTTTTTAGTTTGCTAGATAGTAAGTAAATTTCACGGAAATCTAGAGAACTAAAAAAGTTTTAGAGTAGCTTTCAAGAATAAGTTGAAAATCACCCTGTAGTAACAGCTGTTATACAGGATGTCACACAAAAAACGCCCCAACCTGATAACTCTGTTAACTTATTATATTAACTTTCTAAATAACTCTGTTATTTACATTCCGATTTTCATGATCCAGGTATCAAATGAAATGGTTTTATAAATACTATAATTCATGCTACGAATAGTTTTTTTCCAACGCCATCTTCAAGTTAATTGCTGCCTATATTTTTCTTCACGTCATTGGATAGAGTTTGGTTTTCTGAATCCATTGATACATCCATTTTAAATGTAATTTTAGCAGAAAAAAGACAGCCTGTATACAGGGTGTATCTGAATGACTGCAACAAACTTCAAGTGGGTTCAACGCCAAAAATGGCGGAAAATTTTGGTTTAATTGTTTTTTCTCAAAAACCATAAACGCTAGGAAAATGAAATTTGGGGAATATGTTTAACTCATAATAGGGCACGTTTTGACCCTATTTGTACTTTCAACCTACCCTTCTAAACTACTAAACGTAACCACCCCCGTTCAATTTATGCCTAGATTTTTCTTATGAAGATGATAAATACATTGGAAAATTTTCAGTTAAATAGATAAAACTGTTCTAAAACTTTTTTGTCTCTTTGATGTTCTTCGAAAATTTAATAATTTCTGAGAAAAAAAATAATTAAGCAAACACTAACTGTTAAGGGTTGTTAATCGAAAGTTGGAATGAATTTTTAATGAAAAAATCTTAGTAGGCTTTGCAATCTTTGTCAGAAATATTACTTAGTATTATTATTATTGTTTTATTTAAAATTTTGAAACGTCGAGTGAACGAGCGTAAATGCGATAGAACTTTATTTAAAAATTAATTCGAAAAACAATAATAATAATAAGAAAAACACTGACATTTAAACGTCAAAAATATTTCTGACAAACTTTCCAAAGCCTACTAACATTTTTCTCTTACAGTCAAATGTAACAGTCATCTTACATTGTCACACATACAATGACTCACATGTTCTTTAAGGCTAAATATAATTATCACCTCGCGTAGCGCCGTTCATTGATTCTAACACATTTTCTACATCATTCATCGCTCGTGAGATAAATACTTTATTAAGAAATGTTAAATCAACAACAGAAACGTCACCTTAGTAACAAAAAATTCGTCAAAATTGAAAACCGTCAATTTGTTTCAGAACAAAAATTAATGGATAATTAAATTTTCCAAAAAACAAAATGATTTGGATATCAACTTTATTCCCATTACTAATTATAATTTCCTCATCAACAATTTCAATTTCGGCTCAATATCGCCGAAACACTCCAGGATTAGTCCCCGTAGATAAATTCCGCATCTCCCTTTTAAAAGTAATTCAAGACCAATGGGATATATTAAACAACAAAGAAGATGGCTCACAACCCACGGATATCGTAACAAAATTCGTCGAATTCCGAGATAAAGGTTTCGATGATTTCGACGAAAACGTAACAATTTCGAATGAGTTAACCATTTTGGATACAATTTCGAATTGGGGCCGTGTCCAACAAAAAATTCACAAAGTCGCCGTGATGTACAACACTTTTAAGCGATTTCAAAAACAACAAACGGGGAAGAACCGAATTCAATCGCCACCGGAAGTTTGGATCACTTTTACCGAAGCTATTTTACCGAGCATTTCGGATAATCTAAAACAAATTTATGAAGAGATACAAGAAATTAATTTATTTAATAAAATAAAGGTGTTAAAAAACAATTTTTTTTTTAATTATTATTTTTTTGATTTATTTTTAGGAGCTAGATTCAACCTCGATATGTTTAACACAACAATCACCACATCAACACCTTTACAATTTATACAACACAATCTCTTTAACGGAAATAAAAGGATTCGCGATGATTCAATTTTCGTACATTTTATTAAAAATGTATGGGAAAGGAAATTATACAACCGAGTCGCAATTAGAACGCGAACAATTCATCGAAAGGGGATTAAACACCGCGGCTAAAATGGATGAGGTCATGGCGAGAACTTCGCGAGATTTATGGAGATGCGACCCGGAAATCCAAGAAGAAGGTAAAACGTATTTGGAAATAACGCAATTATTGCAAGGGTATATACAAAATGAGGTTGATTTGAACCCGGATGGAACTTGTTGGGAGAATTGCGCCGCTTATGAGTACACGAAAAGCCATTCGTGTTATAAGAATTTGTATTGTAGGCAACAAAGGAGGTGTCAAGGGAAAATTTTGAATTGTAAATTTATTAAATCTGATATGCAAGTTTGCCCAAGTGTAAGTATGATTTAATCGATTTAAAAAAAATGATTATTTTATTTTAATAAAATAGAATAACACCTTAAAAAGGAGATACGATTACATCGAATACGAAAACGGCCAAGTTTATGGACATAAAGGATCTTGCCCAAAAGGCCGAGTTGAAGTGGAGAGTTGGTGGAGATGGCTATTTTGGCACTGCTCTTATTGCATGTGTCTTTGCGATGAAGAAGGAATCTTTTCCGATCGATATTTCAGCATGAAATCGGTTTTATCCGACGTTCTCAACAATAAGTGAGTTGAATCAAAAAAATTTAACCCAAATTTAAAAATTTTTGCTTAAGAATCATCACCGGGGTTAAATTCGCCAAATCAAATCGGATAATCCACCTCCAAATTGAACAAGGAGAACTCCTACAAAACGGGGTTGTTAATAAAACGACGATCGAATGGGTTCCTATTGATAGTTTTCGATTAAATGATAGAAACGTTTTAAAAGACCAAACTTATTTCACTTTATCCCGAGATAATCGCGCCATCGATTTAGATGTGCACGCGGGAGTTGAGGGTTACGTCCTAACGGGTGAGTAAAACGTTAATTTATTGATATAAAATTAATTTAAATAAAAAATAGGGGTGAGACTCCAAAAAATTGGGTCCCACCTCAACCTCCAAATTTATGTAACCCCCTACGACTTCGCAACGGGGAAATTAAAACCTGCTTTAAGCGAATGGTTGGATAACACAAACACCGAGTTCTCAATGATTTCGAAAAGGTAATAAACAAATTAATTTTATTTAAATCATTTAGTATAATTAATCTTTTTTGGTTTTAGGAAAAAAATTGAAATAAAAGATCGCGATGTTCCAACACGCTCAAATCTTCCAAGCAAAATCAAATCAACCCACAACGAATTTTTGGAATTCACCCACACCAGCTTTGAAAAAGACGCGGCGCAAACAACCGTCCCATTCTTAGACAGCCAACCGGTTAGTTCCGGTTTGAGTCCGAATTCCGGGGCGGGAATTTATTACAAAACTTCAAGCGATCAAAACGGGGGGTACATCGGGTTAAAACTAGTCACGTTCGATTATAGTAAACACCTCCTAAAAAAAGTTGATTTGGAGGAGGAACCCGAGGCGAATTAAATTTAGAACAAATTATTTAATCTTTTTTTTATTTTAGATCAAATTTTGATCAATTTTATGTATATTTTAATGATTGTCTAATAAATGTAATTAAAAATTAAATGAATTACTTACTTGAACGCGAAGCGGGTGCATCATCAACATATGGATCACGTCGGATGATGGTAAAACTTCGTTTAACGACACTCCTTGTTTTGCAACTGCTTGGCATAAAAAGACGGCGAAGTATCGGTGAAGCGGTAAATGAAACGACATTTGTAAGCTGTCCTCCTAAATAAAAAAATGAATTAAATTAATTAGTTGAGTTAATTAATAAAATTACAATAAAGTTTCGATATAACGAAAAAAAATTTTTTAGTTATAAAGGTGCTTTTTTTTTAACATAAATCGACAGAAAATCAAAAATCCTTTAAAATGAACCCAAACTCGACTTATTTATCTCCAATCGTTATCGAGATATCTTAATTTTTATCAAAACAAAAACAAAAATGGCGATTATTTGACATTTGACAGTTTCTAACCTAGCTTTTTTATTTTTGAACCCAAATATATCATGTTTGGTATCAAATGAAACTAAACACCAGAATTAGAAACATTCGGGTTTAGTCGGCTTAAGAGACGTATGGCTAAATTATCAAGGTATCAATTCAGAAAAATTTTTTAGTTATAAAGCTGTTCTTTTTTTAACATAAATGGACAGAAAATTAAAAATCCTTTAAAATGAACCCAAACTCGACCTATTTATCTCCAACCGTTATCGAGATATCTTAATTTTTAGCAAAAACAATTGCAATTATTTGACATTTGACAGTTTCTAACCTAACTTTTTAATTTTTGAACCTAAATATATCATGTTTGGTATCAAATGAAAGCATTTTTGATTCATATTATGATCATTTCAATATTTATCAAAAAATCGTTATATTTAATTTTGACAGTTTTTAACCTAACTTTTTTATTTTTGAACTCAAATATATCATGTTTGGTACCAAATGAAAGCATTTTTGATTCTTATTACGATCATTTCAATATTTATCCAAAAATCGTTATATTTAATTTTGACATTTGACAGTTTTTAACCTAACTTTTTTTATTTTTGAACCCAAATATGTCATGTTTGGTACCAAATGAAAGCATTTTTGATTCTTATTACGATCATTTCAATATTTATCAAAAAATCGTTATATTTAATTTTGACATTTGACAGTTTTTAACCTACCTTTTTTATTTTTGAACCTAAATATATCATGTTTGGTATCAAATGAAAGCATTTTTGATTCTTATTAGGATCATTTCAATATTTATCCAAAAATCGTTATATTTAATTTTGACATTTGACAGTTTTTAACCCAACTTTTTTATTTTTAAACCCAAATATATCATGTTTGATATTAAATGAACGCATTTTTGATTCGTATTGCAATCATTTCAATATTTATCAAAAAATCGTATTTAATTTTGACATTTAACAGTTTATAACCTAACTTTTTTATTTTTTAACCCAAATATATCATGTTTGGTATCAAATGAAAGCATTTTTGATACTATGGCTTCTATGTAGTCCATTATAATAAAGAAATCTTTACTTTGTTTTAAATACTAGAATCACCAGAAACATTCAAGCTTAGTTTTTCCCCATATCAATCCGTTATATCAAAGTTTTACAGTAATTAATGAACTAAATTAATAAAATAAATCAAAAATTCTTACAATATTAGAAGTTGTAAAATTGATCGCTTCAAACCACTCCAAAATTGAATTCAAACACACAGTCAATAATTTTCGTGATAAATGTGCGGTTGTGGAATCGGTGAGGTGCGAGACGAGGGCCCACATCGGATAAGCGGCCGCTTCTAGCTCCGCGCTAAACGCGGCGTAATAACTGTTGGGTTCGAATTCGATGTGTTGGTGGACTTCGCGGTGGTTCACGTTCATCCCTTGGAACATCGACAAGAAGGCGAACCACATCTCGACGAGGGCGTCGTCCGCTAAAAACTTCAAAGCGACCGGGCGGTGCGATAAGACGTTGTTTAAGTCGGAAACGAGCGGCCAATAACAATGTTCTTTCATTAATTTTCGACTGCAATCTACTACGTAATGAAAATTTTTGTCTGGATCTAAAAAAATAAAGAAGAAATGTGAGTTATTATAAGTTTGATTAGTTTAAATAAGTTAAAATATTTTATATAAGCATCCGCCAACAGTATCTAGCTCTTTCTTAGCAGAATCTAGTCATTTAACAGAATTATGTGGTCATATCTCAGCAGTATTCAGTCTTTTGCCATTAATAGAGTAGTATTTATCCTTCTTTAAGCAGAATCTAAACTTCTACAACCAAGATAGTCATCTAAACAGTATGAAATAATAATTTAGGCTCAAAAAAGCAAAATTTATATTACAGATTTCTGTTTTAAGTCAATAATGACAGATGTCAAATTGAACGGAAGTGAGATGAAAATTAACAGTAAAATTTCCACTTATCTGATAAATAACTTTTAGGTTATGTTGTAACTCAATTCGATTGGATTGGAAGGTCCCTCTTAGGAATGGAAAATGGGCAGGAATCCGGAAAGATACTTCTTTTCTTTTTTAGGTTATATAAAATCTTGATTCGGCGTTAAATTATCGGAGAAACAATTTAAGGTTAGGAAATTATTTTGACTTTTTTAGGTTAGATTTTTTATCAAAATCCAACCGTACTCTCCCTCTCACTAAATTGAACTGTCTTCCTTCAACTTTTTCCTCTTCTTATATACCCTTTTCCCCCTCCCTAAAAATTTTTCTTCGTCCTATTTTTAACCCTCGCTTCCGATTGGCTGACGGGTTTCGCGCCATTTCTTCCCTTAAAATAATTTCAAATCTTTCTAAACCCCGACAACGCCATCTAGCGGATTTTAGTCGAACTACTCAAAATTCCAAAACTTATTTTATTCATATCTTTTTTAATTCTTTACCAATCTCGATGAAACTTCGTATTTGACGCATATATTCTTGTATTTCAGCCGTCCATTGGAGGTTTCAAGATTCTCCAAGCACAAATGAAGTTTGAATTTTACAAATTTAAATCTAATTTTTAAGGTTAAAATCGCTCAAAAATCTGTTTGAATCTAATAAATTAGGTGTAGCTGATACTGATTTTCACGTTTTGGATGGTTTAGAAAGGATATTAATAGTTTTAAAGAAATCATGAGCAAATAAAAATTAACTGTCAAATGAATTGAGGTTATGTTTCTTTCTCAGGTAAAACCTGTCTTGGTCATTAAAAATTAATATTTTTATACTCACCATGTAAAACATTTTGTATAAGTATCTTCCCAAGCATGTACTTTAAACTAACCACCATGATATGAAGTAGATTTAATTGTTCGGTCATCCTCAACGCGAGACTTTCATTCGAAAATAATTGTACACTAACATGAACAACACGATTACTCAAAGTATCGACGTCGTTTGAGTTCTCAAGCATCATCGAAATTCGATTATAATGGATAACAAAAGCTTTGGTTAAAGCCTCTTTATAATCAGCGTCCGGTAAAATGTTCAACAACAAACACACCACTTTCTGTGGAAATTCGAACTTAACAGTCCAAAAAACGAGCTCCTCTAAAAACGTTTTGTGCAACACTTCCGGAAACGAGGGGCTCCCCCTTTCATCTGATCCTTCAGGAACGGGTAAAGTTCTCAACGCGTCTTCGTAAATTCGCTTAGATTCCGCCATATATTGTCCGTACTCGCTATCCGGGTTCTCCCCAACTTCATTTAACACCCTATACATTTGGGGATTAGTCAAAGCTTGGGTCATAACCCTTCGCATCAAATCCCCCATATTCGTAAAATCGATCAACATCGTTATAAATCGATCCGCGTCTTGAATGGGGCTCCGCGTCTCCGCCGGCGCGTTACTCGTTTCTCTTAAATGTTGAATTAATCTTAAAATAATCCGAGGCATCATCGCCTCAGCGACGCACATTAATTCCCGCGGGGCATTCCCTTTACTCGCCGTTTTATTGGGGCCGTGTCGATCGCAAAATCCCGTCTCTTTCATCACCGAAATATCACCGCAATCGCAAGCGCCACCGGCTTGACTCAGAAACATGTTGAAATCGTGACGTTGATGATTACCCTTTTTGAAACACTCTGTACAAAGTGACATACAGGGTGATATTCCGCACGTACGGCAACGGTATGCTACAAAATTCGGCGTCCAAACTAATCCGCACGTTGTTGGATTATCATAAGTACGAACTATACAAAAAAATAAAAATATTTTAGTTAATTAAAAAAAAAAATTTTTTTTTTTGAGGTTATGTTTATCTTGATTTGATTTGAATTTAACCTCAAATTTAATTATTTAATTTTAACCATAAAATTTTATTGTTATTACGAAATTTTTTAATAATATGTATTTATTATAATAAATTAATAATATTTTAATCATTTATTAATAAAAAATCATAACTTGACAATTCTATAAATGAACGTACCCTCATTTGACAGGTATGAGGAAGTAAAAACACGAGTTAATTCGGTTGATGATACAATATCACCTGTCAAATTCCGAATTAACGTAATTAAACATAAAAATACGCTTAAAATGATATAAAAGATTTTTTTAAATAAATTTTTTTACTTACCTGTCGTTGAAAATTCATCGGGGGTTCTTCCGCCTGCCATCAACCACTTACACCAGTCGATCGTGTCCCATTCGTCGATCGCCTTCGCCGGATTTAATAAGTTATCGAGCACCTCGTTCAGGTGTTTGGGGCTCGTGGCACCCGAACAATCGGCGTGCACATAAGCGGCCGTCGCTCGTTTACCTTTCGCCATAAGCACCTTCGCCTCAAAAGAGGAACTCGAAGGGCCACCACCGCCGAACATGTCGATGATAAAACACTTCTTCACGTCTCGAACCCGATCCTCTTGTCACTTCACGACGCGCCTCTTGTCGATCGTCGTCCCTGTCATCAGTTCAAACGTGACGATTCCGCTTTTACAACTTAATTTTTTCTTATCGTAACACAATACAACGTAGGGAGGGGGGCCCTCCTCGGCGACGTCTTCTTCACCGACCGAAATTAACTTCTTCGACGACTCTTTTCACCTCTACCCACCGACGACGACTCGCGATCACAACGCGAACGCACTAGAGGGCGTTTCGATTGTGTCAAGTTCATCTCTGTATCGAGTGAAGTTAGTTGTTTATAGGATAAAGATTTAATTGAAAGTAATAAATAAAATTAGATTACTTTTATTTCATTGCAATTCCTAAAAATAAATCATTTAATTTCAAAAATCAATAATTAAAAATTAAATTTTATAAAATGTCAAAATATCGATAAAATAGATTCCTTTTTTTAATTAATTTCAAACAATTAAAATTTTATTCAGGAAATTTTATATTAAACTTCCTTTGGTTCTCATTAATCCAAAAATCGATTTTATTAATCGTTTCTTGATCCATCTCATTTTTCCAACTTCCACTCTTTCCATTTCTTATAAATCCATTCTCGCCACAATTTCGAATAATTCCGATATCTTTTAAAGCGGCGTTATTAACGGCGGGGTTATTTTTAAAGTTTTTTATATCCAAATGTTCTTTTAAAGCGTCCAATTCGTCGTCGGTTATTTTACAACCGATAAAATCGGCCACCTTTTTAATACCCCGTTTGCAATCGCGTAACAAATCTTCGTAGAACATAAAAAGAAGCGATTCTTCGTCTTTATTGTCGTAACCTTCTTTTAGATGTTCCCAATAAGGCGTCCAAGGTTCTAATAAAAAAAATTTGACATTTAAACGTCAAAGTGACAGTTTTAATTTTTGACGTTTAATTCTTACGTAAATTTTTGATAAAGTATTCGCAATAATCTCGTAAATTTCCTTCGTAACCTTGAGTCCTGAATAGTTTATTTAGATGGTAAAACGAATTTATTACATCTTTTGGGTTTCGGGCGACATAAATCACTTTGCACCCGATTTTGAGTAAATTTGGTGGAAGGAGACTGAATGGGAGATGGGTTTTGATTATTCTCGGTGATTTTCTTAAAGGTAATTTTAAGTATTCGGGGAAAGTTACTTCTTCAATGATTTCTTTTTTCGTTGGATCATTTTCTTGTAAAAATTCTAATTTGACTTCTTCATGAACGAAGGAACCAAACCTAAAATTAAATTAAAATGAATTAAGAAAGGAATGAGTTAATTTTGAAGTAATTTTACTCCAAAAATGGGCATCTTTCGTTTAATGAGACTGTTTTAGCTGTTTTATAATCGAAATTGTTTGCTAAAAGCCAAACCATCTCTTGTGTCCACGTCGTTCCAGATCTTGGGAATGTAACGATCCAAATATCGTCTTTTCTGGGTTCAAAGTTGTAATATTTTGGGGCATCCTCCAAAAACTTCGCAGGAAAGAAATAATTTTTAGGCCCAATTTGCACAAAAGCTGTTCGCTCCCCTTTAAAATCCTCCAACAACTTTTTGTTTACATCCTCATCAATTTTGGTTATTTCGTAAGGAAATTTATAATTATTATTAGCGACGTCTTCGGTTATATCCATTATTTATTTCAATTTTAAACACTCATCATAGTTTACACTTAAAACTCACTCAATAGACTGGAATTAAAATTTTGAATACACAGCGATTTAATTTAATGGTGTTTTTAGGTCGAACGTTTTTATAACTTTCACCGCATTTAACTCCACCTTTATTAAAGTTTTAACGTTTTTTTCGCGAAAGTTATCCATTTAAATTTGACAATGATAAGGTAGATTTCTGTAATTAATGAGATAACCTCAAAAAAGAAACGTCAAAAAAAAATTAATATAATTTTAGAAATTATGGATGTAAATAACTCTTTGGAGTCTTTAGAAAAAGAAGATCCGATTAAATGCATATTCTTTTGCGAGTTTCATCCAGTTGTTGGGCCTGTGATATCTTGTCAAGTAATTTAATTAAATAACATAACCTCAAATATATAAAATTTGTTGTAGATTCCCGAAAATTATATTTCAAAGGAAGTTTTTGATAGCGTAAGCGTTTATATTATTACGAAATTAGAGTTACAACGTAGTACAATAACTGTGTAAGTTATTAATTAACAAAAAAAATTTTTTAGGTTATCTCAACTTAATTTTTTTTGCAGAACTTTACCAAATTACAAAATATTAGGATTTCCCGTTCGAATCGATGACAAAAAGTACGCAAGAAACGCCTTCCAATTCAATTTATGTTTTGTGTGTAACACCAAAGCTAGAGCAGTTCATTATGAGCCGGTTGTAACAAAACTCTCAGATTATTTAATAGCTTTAGAAGTAGAAAATAATTTTTTAAGTGGTGGTAACCTCGCGAATAATTTATCCCCGATTTTAAAACAAGTCCTAAACGATTTAAACACAAAAGGGGAGTGTGCTTTAACAGAAGGTCCAACCGCGACTCATTTAAAAGTGGTAAAAATCAGACACAGCCCCCAAGCAGTCGTTGATTGTCAAGTTCCCATCTTTATAAAACCCCTTCCTGAAGATAAATGGGATTTAACCACCCAACAAGTCGCCCCGTTCATCGACGGGTTTAACCACGTGGCTCGAATCGCGAATTTATCCGACGTTGAAAATAATTTAGTAAAAGCCTGCGTTCAAAATCTCGTTTATTACGGTGTTGTCGCTTTAGTACCACTTTTCCAATACAGCAACATTTATTGCACCACCCCGAAATTAAACGTTTTAATACAAGACGTCGATTTACAACGAATTTGTTTAAAATACGTCGCGAAATCTCAAAGATATTTACCGTGTATTCGAGACGTTTTTCGGATTTACGCCGCAATGACGCGGGGGACAACAATAAGAGATCTTTGCGTACGGTTTAATCCAGCTAATTTAAGAATTAACGAGAGAAAGCTTGTGCAATTTGGAGTTTTGGAAGGGATTATAAGGCGAGTACATAAATATCCGGTTTTTTTGGGGGATTGCCCCGAATTGAATAAATCTTTATCGGGATTAGCTAGTTTAGACGAGATTTGTTGCGCCACAGGAATTGGGGCGCAACAACTCGAAGATCAATTAGAAAAGGATAATAATGTTGTTATGTTATGGAAATAATAAAGATTACCATTAATAAAAAATACAAAATTAAAAAATTACATTTAAAAAATTAAAGGGATAACCTCAAAATTGAAATGTCATATTTGACAGTTAATAATTTATCTTTTTTAAAATATAAAAAGAAACTTTTTGTATTATTAATGTAAAATTAAAGTGTTTCTTGACTTGTTTGAGAATGATGTTGTGATGTTATGGAAATAATAAAGATTACCGAATCAAATTTATTTAATTCTGACTTTTTTTAAAAAAGAAAACTGCAAAATTAAAAAATGACATTTAAAAAGTAACCTCGAAATCGAAATGTCATATTTGACAGTTAATTCTTTATCCTTTTTAAAATGTAGTTTTAAAATATAAAAAGAAACTTTCTGTATTATTAATGTAAATGTAAAAAATGTTTCTTGCCTTGTTTGAGGATAAGAAGGAAAAATTCAAGAATCATCATGTGGTTTAAAAATCGACGATTTTTTTATTTTTTAATCATTGTGAAATTGTTTTCGATACGTAACGACTACCTGTCGTTAGATAGACTGTGTGTCAATAGACTCTGTGTTAATACAAGAACTAACACTAGACCTAGAACTAGAAACATTCGGGATTAGCCGCACGTCTCTAAAAACGGCTAAACCCGAATGATTCTAGTTCTAGGTCTTGTGTTAGTTCTAATGATAAAGTAATATTGCTTGTAAAAGACCAAATACTGCCGCCAGAAGACGAAAAACTGCTTGTGGAAGACAAATACTACCTCTACAATACTAAAAAATGCTTGCAGAAGATAGACATTGTCTATAAAAGGCTAGGTATTGCTACCAACAGACTAGAAATTGGTTGCAGAATACTAATATTGCTTGTAGAAGACTAAATACTGTCGACAAAAGACTTAAAACTCCTTGTGGAAGACAAATACTACCTCTACAATACTAAAAAATGCTTGCAGAAGATAGACATTGTCTATAAAAGGCTAGATACTGCTACCAATATACTAGAAATTGGTTGCAGAATACTAATATTGCTTGTAGAAGACTAAATACTACCGACAGAAGACTAAAAACTCTTTGCAGAAGACAAATACTACTCATACAATACTAAAAAATGCTTGCAGAAGATAAATATTGTCTATAGAATATAGACGATCTAGAATCTAGCTTTCTTCAAGCAATTAGTAGTCTTTCCAACAATATTTAGCATTCTGAAAGTAGTTAATAGTCTTTTGAAAATAGTATCTTGTCTTTCCAAGCAAATAATAGTTTCTCCCAGCAGTACTTAGTCTTCTCCAAGCAGATCGTAATCTTTTCCACTAGTATCTAGCTTTCTGGCAGAATTAGGTAGCTTTTTGGGAAGCATATTTCTTCTCTCCAAGCAGTTATTAAAGTCATTGAAAGTAATAAATGGTCTGGGAAGCAGTATTCCGCCTGTCCAAGTAGGTCAAAACCGTTAACAGCAGTGTTTAGCGTTCTGGAAGCAATTTCCAAGTAAGTTGTGGTCTTTTTCTGCTGTATCTAGCATTTTAGAAGCAGTAGGTAACTTTTTGAAATAGCATTTCCTCCTTCCAAGCTGTTTTTAGTCTTTTATTAGCAGTATTTAGTCTTCTGATAGCAATAATTAGTCTTTTGCCAACAGTATTTAGCATTGAGGTTAAAAAAAAATTGTTGATTTTTAAGCGACATGATAATTCTTGAATTATATCGAGAAAATAATGTTGTGATGTTAAAAATAACAAAGATTACCGAATAAAAACGTTTTTAATCAAAAATATAACCCTTTATCATTAAAACTTAATTCTTAAAGTTTTTCTCTTAATTTAGCACTATCCATCCTCCCCATCAACAACCCCCAAGCTTTATCAACCTGTTGCCTTGTATACTCAACCTCCCATAACGTACAAAACACCACATGACTCGCTTTTACATAATCTCGATTCGACATTTGGGCATCCAATCGACTTTTTGCCTCATCAACTGATAAATTATTACGAGATTGCAACCTTTTTATCGCTTCATCTTTTGGAACAATAGTCGTCCAAATCTTAAAACCCAACAATTTAATCGACGAAATTAATTAATTTAAAAAATTACCTCATCGCAACAATCCGTCCATCCAGCCGCCAACAACACAGCAGCTTCAACAACAACAACTCGACTATTCGACGTTTGAATCTTTTTAATCACTTCCGCTTTGATCGCCGGCCATAATATCGAATTTAATTTATTTAATTCCGACTTTTTTTTATTAAAAAGAAAATTGCAAAATTAAAAAATGACATTTAAAAAAATAACCTCAAAATTAACAAATCGAAATGTCATATTTGACAGTTGGTAATGTTTTACCTCAAAATTGACATAACCTCGAAATGTAAAATTTGACAGTTCTTTTTAAAATGTGATTTTAAAATATAAAATTGTTTCTTGCCTTGTTTGAGAAGACGATTCCACCTAAAATTTTTCGATTTATTTCGCCTGTCTCTGTTAAAATTGATTTACCAAAGGTCTCGATTAATTTTTGATAGCAAAGTTCTCCCGGTTTGTATAAAGAATGAGCCAATAAGTCGCAATTAATCGTCATTGCGCCTAATGTTTGTAAATAATTTGAAACGCCCGATTTTCCGCTTGCGATTCCTCCTAAAATTGTTATTAAATAACTTTGAATTGTTTAATTAAAATAATAAAATTACCGGTTAATCCTATAACATAAGGACCTTTGGGATAAATCATTTTATTTTCGACCGGTTTTAATAAAGTCCCTAAAATTCTCATTCGAGACGTGCTAGAACTAATTTTGGTTTCTTCGTTTTTCGATGGATGTGGTTCGTCGATTAATTTAACGCAAAAAACGTCGAGGGGTTTTAATTTATTTGATACTCTTACTAAAAAAAAATTTTAAAAATAAATAATTTAATTAATTAATTGGATTAAATCAACCTTCATTAACTTTCTTCCCCCCTTTCATTGTTTCCTCACTCACAATTAATAACTCCATGGTGTTATCATTTTTTGTTGGCCCCATTGGGTCAGAAATTGGCACAACATTCGTTTCTAATTCACCATTAATATCCATCAAAAAATCTTTTACAACTTCAATCCGTTTTTGTAAAGGCTCTACTAATTCTGATAATAATTTCCCTTCAAGCATTTTATCATCAGTTACTCCAACGGTTATTTTTGAATTTGTTCTTAAAGCTGCTTCAGTTAAAAGTAATTTATGAGCGATGTGGAGCCGGTCGAAAGTTCCTCCAAGTACCGTATGTTTATAAATCTTCAAAGATTCATTGTTAACAGATTCCGGTTCAAATTCGCCTGAATCAATCGTTAAAATCCCACATTTTGAGGTTATGTTATTTATTTTCTTTTTAATAAATGCGTCAATATCTTCTTTTTGGTGCGGTTTATCGAAAATAACTAAATCAACCGGGCGTTGGGTGTTTATACTCGTTAAATTATTATATTTTAACCCAGATAATAAAACTCTGACGTCTAATTCTTCACAAAAATATGCAACCTTAAATTTATTTAAATTAAATTGATAAATTTGATAATCGATTATTACCTGTGAGTATATCCCGTTTATGGTTTTACTAAACTTTGGGGACGACGTGTAAATATTCGGTTGAAAACTTCCAAAAGGTTCTTGAAGTGCCGATAAGAGTTGAATATACAAAGTGTTATTAACATGCGTTTTTATCGTCGCTAGAACTTTTCCGATGTGTTTCGGGTTCGAAACTATTAACAACCCCGTTTTTACAATCATATCTTTTATGTTTACGACGAAATTGTGCTTAAAATTCGGCAAGAATCTCGTCGTGTCATTTGTGATTAAGTGAGGTTATGTTTTATAATAATTAGGTTAAAAGTCGAGTTTAAAGTTCAATTATGTAAGTAATTATCGTGTAAAATGTAAATACAACGATCTTAGTCGCATTATTTTTATTAATTAAGATGGTTAAAAAAATTGGGATGAAAAATTATTATAAACATAACCTTAAAAAAATGTTTTCTAATTTTTAAGTAAAATCGATGAACATACCAAAGTAATTTCTTTATTTAAATATAATTTTTAATATCAATTATCTAATTAGTAATTTAAAACTATGCAATACCCTTTTTTTAATTGTTTAGCCACACCAAGGGATGTTAATTAAACAGTTTAAAACTTCTGTATGTATACGTTTTTCTTCATATTTACTTTTTACGGTTCCCAATTATCTTATCGTTTTTGATTTCTTTCGTTAAACTTTTTAAGTTACAAAATCCATTAAAGCATTAATGTAGATCGATTTTTTTTTTGTGGTTATAAAAATAGAACTTTTATTCGGAAATAGGTCGAATTTCGTTGCGAATTGGTGTCGATAACGTTTAGATTGGAAAATTTGGGGTAATCCTTCATAAACCATAAATAGACGAATTCGAAAAATAAAAATGCACTCGCGTTGGGCCATGTTTAAAAATAAATCGCGTTACTATGGTAACTTCGAATTGAATTAGCTCCATCTATGTGGAGGAGAACGAAGTTTTTAATTGACTTAATATTTAATAGATAGCGGGTTATAAAATTAATTTTAAATAAATTTGTTTATATTTATTGTTAGAAATCTTATAAAAAGATATAAACTCTGTTATTTTTTTTAACATTATAAAGGCGTACATAAACTCGTCTTTTCACCATCTCAAATAATCCTCACCCCTCTCCTCAACACACAAATCAAATTGAAATAATTATTTTTTTAAATGCGCAAAAATTGGTAAACAAATACGAAAAGCAACATCCCTTTTTGTTTAAAACGGCACAAGATAAACATGTATAATACGTGAAAAACTTAACAAATACGTAGATAATAATAATAGTTAATAAATAAGCGAGTACAAGGTATTAGGAGTAACATTATAGCGTAGCAGAGTAAAAAAATAATATAGTTTTGGACAGATGATGACAGTATTGTTTTGTAACATTTTTTTGTAACGATTTTTTTATAGTTGCACCCTTTAAAAAGAGTATGAATCACAGAAAGAAAATAAAACCAAAAAAATAAATAAATGCGATTGAAAAACCAAAAAAATCTTCAATCTTCATCTTTGAATCGCCTATAAATCGCTTGAACATAAGTAAAGACGCATTTCCAATCCGGTTTGCTTATGGCTACCATGTCGTCAACGTCAAGAAGTGGAGCTATCCCCGCCTTATCTCTAAAAATACACATTAACATTAATAATAAATTAATAATACAATTCTTACTCGGCTGTTTGAAAGGCGAGGGTAAAATTATGCCTTCGATTCTTCGGGTTGAGGGCATCATAGTCGAAAGCTTCCGGTAAGAAATGGTGGATTAAGGCGCAAAATGCCATGCCATCTGCCCAGCTTGTCGAAAAGTTATCTAATTGGACGTTCTAAAAAGATAATAAACAATAATTTAATAAAAAAAATTTTATTTTGATTTTTTAAGTTAATGATAAGCAGAAATCACCAATTAGACACACCAACACCGCAAAAGATACCAATCACAAAATAAAAAACACCGATTCTTTTTGAAAACTACATCTACCTGGTATCCATAGGTTTTCCTTTGACACCACTGCAATAACCTCTGTTTGATCGTGTTCGCGCTTTGATTTAGGGCGGGATCAGTGAATTTAAAGAAGGAACCGCTCCCCGTAGGCGTTTTAGGAGTGCTGCGATAGGAGACAGTCAAGCATAATATTATTTTTTTTTATCTATTTTGAACGCGAAGAGTTTTTAAAAAATTAACGTTCTAACATTAAAAGTTAGTCACAAAGTAATTCTTAATTTTTTTACATGATGAGAGAATGATTATTTCGATTTAAAAAATTACCTCGGTGGCGAATTTAGACTGTTCTGCTTATCCAGTTGTCTAAATTTAGCGAATGGAGACATCGGTTTTTTTGTTATTTGTTCGGTTGTCACTCGAGAAGTTACTAAAAAAAAAAAAAAAAATAAATAAATAATTAAAATTATTTCTTTTAATGACATTTTAAGCTTAGGAACATTTTAACCTAGAAATTTTAAATACAAAAGTGACTTTTTCATATTTGTCAACGTCAAATTTTTTTTGTCAAACATAATAAAACAAAATTCCCTGTTAATTGTGTCAAGTGTCATTAAGGTTTAAACAATTTGAAATTGTTATTTTTATAATTTTAAAATAGCCTTATTTTCAGCTTCTTTCATCACTCATAAATGTTGAGCCTCGGCAAACGATGTCGGCTTAATCACTTTAAAATCCCCCATTTTCTGTCATTAAACGTGATATAAACGCAAAGCACGTTTTCTCATTTATTTATAATAGGACGTCGACTACATAGTTTTGATTTTGACTTTGATCTTGCGTAAATGATCACTACAACTATACTCTGTTTTTAAACCAGGAGAAGTAAACGCGAAAGTCAGATTTACACTAGGAAAAATCACCAGAAAATATCACTAGATATTTTGGCGGTAAATTTAAATTAATAATTATTATTATTTATTTATTTACTTATTATTGTATTTATTTTCGTTTGTTATCGTCAACACTAAACATACAAATTAACATTGAAGTTATGAGTGTATTTATTTCAAAATATAATAAAGAAGGGTTTAAGAACACAAAATTTACAATAATGACACGAAACTGTCGAATTGTCAATAACCTAACCTTCAAATTCAAAATTGCCTGTGTGTGAACCTTCCTCGCATTCAACCAATCACGTGCAAGGTCAATCTGGTGACAAATTTAAAATACTCCTCCTGGTTTAAAAACAGAGTATAGCAACATAATTTTTAAATATTAATACCAACCTCAATTTTTGAGATTTTTTCATGTATTTTCTGTGGGACTTTACCCATTTTAGGTGGGACAGTGTAAGTGCATAGTAATTTCGTAACTATGGTTACTGCATTCATATATTACGAGTTATATATTTCCGGTATAGGTTATTAATCAATTTAAGTGACATTTAGAAACGTCAAAAAAATTTCTAACTTCAATTTAGTTACTTTTGAAATTAAAATTCCCATAGTTTTTAATTAAATTCTGTGGTATCATATATATACTATCTCCTATATCGCTGACTCCTTATCTAAGCAATGAGTGGCGAGCGTTTCCATCAAAAGCAGACGGAATGATATGTTTTGTCTTTGTCGTGTCCCCATGTCGCGAAGGCACTTGCGCGAATCGTAAATTTTAAAGAGTTTGAAGTGTTTCGCGCGTATTTTATGCAGCTTTGAAATGCAATTATTGTAGATAGTTGACTTTAATTATAAATTATCGTAGATGCATCAAATAAATTAGAATATATGTACTTTTGTGTGAAATTGACGTTGAATATTGCTTTAAATATTAACTTTATGTAGGTTGTTCATTAAACATTATATTCTTTACTTTTAACAAATTTTCTTCACTTTCTTAACAAATAATAATTACATTTTAAATTGCTTAGTCCTAAAATATGTTAATAATTATGTTATTATACACATGAAACCTATAATATACTTAGTTATGTATATTTAGATTTTAGGTTATGTTTATGTCAAACATTTATTTGGTGTTTTATAAACATCAGGGTCATCAGCTGCTATTAATTTTTAATTCACCGTCCAATAAGATAAAAGCGTACTCACCACGTGTTCACGCATGTCTCTTGTGTAGACGGGGGCACGACAGAGACAGATATATATATATCTGCACTCTAGTGTTTACACTCTTTTGCTGCCCTAGTCAGCGATATAGGAGATAGTATATATATGTGTGGTATAGTATCATTTGGGATTAGCGGATTCACCAGCTGATTGTATGTCGAAATCCCACCGTAAGATGGCATTAGCGTCTATACTGAAATAATTTAATTAAACTAACAATTTTATTATTAATAGTGGGAATGATGAGACACAGCAATAACAATTATTATCAGTATTATTCTTTTAATTTAAAAAGTATAGATTCCAATTAGTGTTATATTTTTAAATTTGCCGCTAACTTCAAGTTGAAAGTTGAAGTTTGTTCAGAATGACAGATGAAAACGTCATTTTAAAAGCGTCTTAAAAGTGATTTTTCGGTAAGAGTACGTTAAAGTAATAATGGTAAGATTAAATAATTAGATAATTAGGTTATAAGTTGTTGGAAGCTCGTCAGATGCATTGTGCAATCTCACATGTCATATGATGCAGTAATATTCAAATGTGCGGCATTATTTGACAGGTGTAATTGCCATAGGTCATAGCCATAGGTAATTGCATCTGAGGGATTCCCAATCAGTTGCTCCAAACACTTTCCAAACAGTTATTCTGTGGTTGGAGCTTTTATATATAAACCCAATCCAACCTATATTCTAGTGGTTCGGTTCTTAGCTGAATAATTCCAAAATATGTGAATATGCGTGCGACTGAGTTACTTCTTACTATTTCTTATTGTAATTTGTCTCAATTTAATAANCTTTCTTATGTAGTCTGTTTTCTTTTCTTTTATATTATTGTAGTGGACACTTTTTTGGGATTTTTTCCTGTACGTGTCCCGAATATGAATAAATACAAAAAAAATAAATAAATAAATTAAAATATCCCCAACAGATGGCGCCATATGTATCAATTTTATCAATTAAAATTATAAAAATTATCAAATTATCAAATATATCAATTTTTAATACGAAGTTTTTAGTTTTTAGAGAGTTGCATTTCTACGAAGCTATTTTCTATGCACGTCACTAAAAACGGCTAAACTCAAATGATTCTAGTTCAAGATATAGTGTTACTTCTAGGTTTACATTTGCACTGTCATTAGAACTAACATTAGAACTAGAAACATTGGGGTTTAGCCGTGCGTCTCATAAGACGGCTAAAGTCGAATGATTCTAGTTCTAGGTATAGTGTTAGAGAGTTTGAAGTTATTATTATCATTACATTGATTATATTAAAATGTGTTAGTTCAAAATCTGGATTCCTATTATGTATTAATTTACCTTGGGATGTTGTTGTCACCGGCCCTTGAGTAAAACTCCTTTCTGAAAAAGAAGAAAAATGAACCAAGTCAATTTTGATTATTTACAAACAATTTTATGGATAACTCATCAAACGAGACGAAACAAATTTTATTTTATGTTAAAAGAAAAATCAAACCATGCTAAAAAAAAAATAACAGAAAAGAAAAGGATTTTTGTTTTAAATAACGCAAAAGCATGATGATGGTGTAACGAAAATGATTTTTTTTTAAAGTTTAAAGTTCGATTTTTAATTTTAAGTGACTTATTTTTGTGCTTTTTCCGTGTTGCAAGCGATTAATGCAAAAATAAAAACTCTTGGGTGCGCACACCAAGGCAAATTACTAAATAAACGTGTGTTTACAATTATTTAATTACAATTAATTATTAATTACCATTATTAATTAATTACAAATGAGGGATTGGATTGATTTCGTCGTTTTAATAAAATTAAAAAAAAATAAATAAAAACAAAAGTGTTAAAGGAGAAAACTTCCCGTGATAATCTTAGGTTATAAAAAGAAAATAAATTAATTAGATATTCGCACACCATAATCCTCACCGGTAGTTTCGTCTTTGTTTTTCCGGCTTTAACAAATCCCCTCGGTGTGCGCCCCCATAGAAAGCAACAAAAGTGAAAGAGACAAGAAGAGGTTCGTAGCTCGTCGTTCGTAAATTATTTTTTTAACAACAAAAATTACAACTTTCATTAATTAATTTTTTCCTAAACGTATTTTTTTAATTTTTAATTAGTAAAATTATGGAATGGTAGATTTTTGTTTTTTTTTTTTTTTAATCAAGTTATAAAATTGCACTCGCTATGTACTCGACTTGAAAATCTCTTCAAACATCTGATCAACATCCTCATCAACATCCAAACGATCCAAACAGATCACATCAGGCAAAGTTTGACTTCTCGACAAACCTAAAGACGTTGAAGATGACGAAATCGATTGAGATCGTTGCGTTGAGATTTTTTGCGACGTTTTTACTCTGTTTATCGATGATTTTGGTTTATTTTGAAATTGATTTTGATTTTTTCCTCCAAAATAAGCTTCGAGGCTTTTTTGTTTCTCGGCCATTTCTTGTTTCGACATTCCAGCCTCGTATTGTTTAGGAACGGCTAATGAGTGACTCGATTTTGATCTTGTCACTAATCGGCTATTCGGTGATGCTCTCGGTGATGGTTTATTCGCAACCAACTCTTTCCCTTGACAAATTTGGTGCCAAGATTCCGATTTTGATAAGACATTAGCTTGCAAATCAGGTTTTTTTACTTGGATGTGAAATTTACTTGTCAAAACCGATTCCCCATCTTCATTAATTTCTAATGACTCCATCGGTTTATCGTTTAAACAAACCATCGGCTTTCTCGTTGGGCTCAAATTTGGGGCTACATTATTATAAACAACCAATCCTTTGGATGTAGGCGATTTCGGTTCTTTTAAGTCCTGATTTTGCGTTTGACTCAATTTTTGGAGGGAACTCCTTAAATTTAAGGCCAAATCAAAATCGTGTTCTTCTCGTTTTTTTGGACTATTACTTTGGACCATAACTGCTTGTTGACCAATTGGGCCGGTCATAACACGACTATTTACAGGTGTGTGTTCTTGAATGTGATCATTTTGATGATTTATTTGATAATTATCATTATTTTTAAGATTTTTAAGTTGTTTTTGATGATAATCTTTTTGAACCTCATCAATTTGATGATAACTTTTCTGGAAATCTCCTTGAGGATGTCTAGAAAATTGATTTGGACTTGATTCATCATCAAAATAATTATTTTGTTTATTCCCCATAAATTCATTTCGATTTAAATCCGGTTTAAATTGATAATTAGAAGTAAATTGTTTATCATCACCTTGATATTTATTATAATCACTCTCATAGCTTGGTTGATACGCATTAACATTTTGATGTTCAAATCCCGATTTTGTATCTTGCACAAAATCGGGTTGATTAAATCGTAAACTTTCTAACAATTCTTGTTGCTTCAAATTGTGCTCAACCTCATCAGAAACAACATCATCAACTACATTATTAGCAACATTAGATACAATCGGAACTGGAAAATTAATTTTTTGTGTTATCGTATACTCAGCGTTATAAATATTAGGTTTTTTAATTTCTTGAGGTTGATTCTGATAAGAAATCGTATAATTTTCACCTGGAATAAACACCCTTTGATTGTAATTCAAATTTTGACTCAAACTGTCATATTGGCCGCTAAGTTTTCTTACAGAGTTTCTATTTTGGTTCAAATTTTTCACAATATTCGGCGAATTCAAAGGCTTTTGATCCATTCCTTTTTGATTCTCGAATCTTGACGCTGCTATACTCAAAACGCGGCTATTTTCGTTTGATTTTGAACACCATGGAGTGTTTCCAACCGGTGATGAAGGCGAATCTTGGGGCGAGAACGGTTTTGGACTATACAAATAAGAAACGCCGTCTTTTAATTCTTTAATTTCTTTATCAGATTCCTTATTTTCTTTATACAAATTCTTTTGTGGTTTAACCGGTCGAAAAGCTGACATCATCGGATTATAACTAAATTTATTAACAGGATTTGGTTGGGCAATAACCTTAATTTTATTAGTTTCTAAATTTTTCGTGTCAACCTTTAACGATCCAGTAACAACATTTTTATCGTTCCATTTATCCTCGCGATTTTTCCTTTGTTTCTCTTCAAACATCTCTTGCAAATTCCTCGCGCTTTGCCTACTAATTTTAGGGCCAAAAGTTTTTTGTTTCCCCGCTGTTACGGCATCATCGGCACTTTTCCAAAAATTCCTTGCCGAATTAACATTCGCAGTGGGACTTTTCGGTTCAAAATTACTTTTAATTTTTCCTAAGCCACCTTGGGAATTATGATTACTCCAAATTGGGGTTGATTTAGATTTAATCCACGGCGTTTTTATCGGTGGATTTTGATCCCCATCGTTTTGTTTATTAATAAACGCCAAAAATTTTTTATCGTTCTCGGTTTTCGCTTCAAATTGAGGTACTTTTTTGGAAACGTTAAATTTTCCAACGTGAATTGGCCCCCTTAAAGCTAAATAACTATTTCTTCGACCAATTTCTTCGTTTTCCGATTCATCGTCATCACATTCGTAATATTTTAACGGTTTCGGAATATCGATCGTATTCGCTCTCTTCATTTTTAATTTTTTTGTGTTAAAACGATTCGCTTTTTCGTTATATTGATTATTAAATTCATCATCACTTTCTTCGTTAGAACGATTTTGATGATAAATCGGATTTGTTTGCATGATAAGATCCGGCTTTGGTTGTTGCTTATCTCCGTTTTTAATTTTAATAGTGCTATCTTCATCAGTATCCGATTCTTTTTTATTATTATTAAAAACTTTTAATTCTTTCGAATTTCCAAAATCGATTGATTCCGAAGTTTCCGTTGGAGTATCAACAGTTGAAGACGTTCCACTTTGACTTTGACTAGATTGGGTACTTATAAACGGCTTAGCTATCGAATTTTTAACTTTAACGCTTCCTAAAACAACATTTTGTTCTTGGGGCATCCCCCCCAATCCAATTTCTTCCATTAATCTTCGCGCATCCTCTAATTCCTCACTCGTAACACCAACTGTATGTCTGCTATGACGATTTTGTTTTCTTCGACTTAAATTTCCTTGTAAACTTGATCGTCTCTCGTAAGAACTTGAAGGGGTTAATTGAGATGAAAGTCCTTGTTGAAGTCTTGTGACTAATTGAAGAAGGGAATTCCGGCGCTCCTCCGACATAGTTGTCGAAGGATTTTTCAAGCTAAATGTTAATTTATCCAAGGCCGTTTGGACTTCTTGGATTAAACCGGAGCGGAGATCCTCGCCGGATTCTGTACCGGAATCGGCGGCGGGTTGTTCCGTTTCGGGCTTATCGAGAAGACCTTGCAGTAAGGGAAGAAGCAATGACTCACCCTGTATCGATGTTCGAGATGATCTAGCATCTTCTGTTGCTTTTTCCACTAAATCAGCACATGCTAAAAACAAAAATATTACATTAGATCTTTCTTTAGAATGACATTTTAAAATTGTATTCACTATTCAAGGCTACCAACCTAAAATACCTCCACTAAAAATACACTAATGTAAGCTTAAAACCCATCGTTTTAAAAAATTAATATTTTATTTAAAACGTTGAAATCAATGTTTTGTCTAAAACTTTAAATTCCAAAATATCATTTAAAACGTCGAACGCAACATTTCGAAATGACGGTTGAAACGTTTAATTCATAATTTCGAATTGACATAAAGCGGTATATTCGAAATTTTAGAACGTGACCTAAAGGGACACATTCAAATTGTTGAATTGTCATTTTTAACATCAAATTAATGTTTCAACTAAAACGTTAAATTCAAAATGTCATTTCGAATCTCAAACGTCAAATTCCAAGATATTTAAAATGTCAAAAATAAGATTTCTAAGCGATTAATTCATAATTTCAAATTGACGTAAAGCCGCATATTTCAAATTTTAGAATGTGCCCTAAAGGGATACATTCAAAATGTTGAAATGTCATTTTTAACTTCAAACCCATCGTTTTAAAAGNATATATTCGAAATTTTAGAACGTTGCCTAAAGCGACAAGTTCAAATTGTTGAATAGTCATTTTTAACATCAAATTAAAGTTTCATCTAAAACTTTAAATTCAAAATGGCATTTCGAACCTTACACGTCAAATTCCAAGATATTTAAAACGTCAAAAACAAGATTTCGAAGCGATTAATTCATAATTTTAAATTGACGTAATATATTCGAAATTTTAGAACGTTGCCTAAAGCGACAAGTTCAAATTGTTGAATTATCATTTTTAACATCAAATCAAAGTTTCAATTAGAACATTAAATTCAAAATGTCATTTCGAACCTTAAACGTCAAATTCAAATATTTAAAACGTCAAAAAATTAGATTTCGAAGCGATTAATTCAATTTACAAATTGACGTGATATATTCGAAATTTTAGAACGTGACCTAAAGGGACACATTCAAATTGTTGAATTGTCATTTTTAACATCAAATTAAAGTTTCATCTAAAACTTTAAATTCAAAATGGCATTTCGAACCTTACACGTCAAATTCCAAGATATTTGAAAACGTCAAAAACAAGATTTCGAAGCGATTAATTCATAATTTTAAATTGACGTAATATATTCGAAATTTTAGAACGTTGCCTAAAGCGACAAGTTCAAATTGTTGAATTATCATTTTTAACTTCAAATCAAAGTTTCAATTAAAACGTTAAATTCAAAATGTCATTTCGAACCTTAAACGTCAAACTTGAAGATATTTAAAACGTCAAAAATTAGATTTCGAAGCGATTAATTCAATATACAAATTGATGTAATATATTCGAAATTTTAGAACGTTGCCTAAAGCGACAAGTTCAAATTGTTGAATTGTCGTTTTTAACATCAAATCAAAGTTTCAATTAGAACGTTAAATTCAAAATGTCATTTCGAACCTTAAACGTCAAATTCAGATATTTAAAACGTCAAAAACAAGATTTCGAAGCGATTAATTCATAATTTCAAATTGACGTAATATATTCGAAATTTTAGAACGTTGCCTAAAGCGACAAGTTCAAATTGTTGAATTGTCGTTTTTAACATCAAATTAAAGTTTCATCTAAAACTTTAAATTCAAAATGGCATTTCGAACCTTACACGTCAAATTCAGATATTTAAAATGGTAAAAAACAAGATTTCGAAGTGATTAATTCATAATTTCAAATTGACGTAATTATTTGAAATTTTAGAACGTTGTCTAAAGCGACAAGTTCAAATTGTTGAATTGTCATTTTTAATTTCAAATCAAAGTTTGAATTAAAACGTTAAATTTAAAATGTCATTTCGAACCTTACACGTCAAATTCCAAGTTATTTAAAACGTCAAAAACAAGATTTCGAGGCGATTAATTCATAATTTCAAATTGACGTATATATTCGTAATTTTAGAACGTTGCCTAAAGCGACAACTTCAAATTGTTGAATTGTCGTTTTTAACATCAAATCAACGTTTCATCTAAAACGTTAAATTCAAAATGTCATTTCGAACTTTACACGTCAAATTCCAAGATATTTAAAACGTCAAAAACAAGATTTCGAAGCGATTAATTCATAATTTCAAATTGACGTAATATATTCGAAATTTTAGAACGTTGCCTAAAGCGACAAGTTCAAATTGTTGATTTGTCATTTTTAACTTCAAATCAAAGTTTCAATTAAAACGTTAAATTCAAAATGTCATTTCGAACCTTAAACGTCAAATTTGAAGATATTTAAAACGTCAAAAACAAGATTTCGAAGCGATTAATTCCTAATTTCAAATTGACGTAATATATTCGAAATTTTAGAACGTTGCCTAAAGCGACAAGTTCAAATTGATGATTTGTCATTTTTAACTTCAAATCAAAGTTTCGATTAAAACGTTAAATTCAAAATGTCATTTCGAACCTTAAACGTCAAATTCAAGATATTTAAAACGTCAAAAATTAGATTTCGAAGCGATTAATTCAATATACAAATTGATGTAATATATTCGAAATTTTAGAACGTTGCCTAAAGCGACAAGTTCAAATTGTTGAATTGTCGTTTTTAACGTCAAATCAAAGTTTCATCTAAAACGTTAAATTTAAAGTGTCATTTCGAACCTTACACGTCAAATTCCAAGATATTTAAAACGTCAAAAACAAGATTTCGAAGCGATTAATTCATAATTTCAAATTGACGTAATATATTCGAAATTTTAGAACGTTGCCTAAAGCGACAAGTTCAAATTGTTGAATTGTCGTTTTTAACGTCAAATCAAAGTTTCATCTAAAACGTTAAATTTAAAGTGTCATTTCGAACCTTACACGTTAAATTCCAAGATATTTAAAACGTCAAAAATAAGATTTTGAAGCCATTAATTCATAATTTCAAATTGACGTATATATTCGAAATTTTAGAACGTTGCCTAAAGCGACAAGTTCAAATTGTTGAATTGTCATTTTTAACTTCAAATTAAAGTTTCATCTAAAACGTTAAACTCCAAGTGTCATTTCGAACCTTACACGTCAAATTCCAAGATATTTAAAACGTTAAAAACAAGATTTCGAAGCGATTAATTCATAATTTCAAATTGACGTAATATA